ACCACTTGACCTATAGCACCACTTCCGGTTTTCTGGTGGTTTATTGGAGATAAGAATTTCACAGACTTTCTTGCCTGGACTGGCTTTGAACCGTGAGCCTCAGATCTCAGCCTCTTGAGTAGCTAGGATTACAGGAATGAGCCCACAGCTCCCGGCTTGTGCAATTCTTTCTTTTTTCTTTTCTGTTTTTTTTTTTTTTTTTGGGGGGGGTGGGGTCCAGTCATGGGGCTTGAACTCTGGGCCTGGGCGCTGTCCCTCAGCTCTTCAGCTCAAGGCTAGCACTCTACCACTTGAGCCACAACACCACTTCCGGCTTTTTTCTTTTTGCTTATGTGGTACTGAGGAATCGAACCCAGGGCCTCATGCACGCAAGGCAAGTACTCTACCATTGAGCCACCTTCCCAGCCCATTGTGCAATGAATTCTTGACTGCATTCTCCCTGCTTCCCCCTTGATGTGTCTACCCTCCTCCCCTGGATCCCATCCCCCTCCTCTTGCATGTACCCATTTCTCTGTGCTGATTTTGTTGGGCTTTGACCTAGTCTTCTTAAAGCATTATACATTTGAGCTCTCCATAGAGTCTATTATACTTCATTCATTTGTAACACTTGCATACTACCCAACATGTTTTCTTACAGATGTATAGGTGGATTCTCTTTACCACAAATGAGGGAAACTGTGCTACCTTTGTTTCTCTGAGTCTGGCTTACTTCACTTAATATAATGTTTTCCAAGTCTTTTCATTTTTTTACAAATGGCATAGTATTATTCTTCTGGATGAGTAAAATTACATTATGTACATGTACCACATTTTCTTGATCCATTTGTCCATTGAGGGACATCTCGGCTGATTCTGTATCTTGGCTATGTTGAATAATGCTGTAGTGCACATGGTTGTGCTAGCGGCTTTACTGTAACCTTGTTCTATTGAATAAGTGCCCAGGAGTAGAATTATTGTGTCTGAGTCAGGAAAACAGGCCCATCACAAGTACAAAATTGAATTGGCAATAAAAGACCTCCCTTCCAAGAAAAGGCCAGGACCTGATGGCTTCCCAGCCAAATTCTGTAAGACCTTTAGAGGAAAACTAATACCAGTGGTCTTCAAACTCTTCAATTAAATAGAAAGTGAGGGGTTACCACCACATTATCCCAAAACCAGATAAGGACACATCAAGAACAGAGAATTATAGACTTATCTCCTTAATGAATATAGATGCAAAACTTCTCAGCAAAATATTGGTCAACTGAATCCAACAACTAATCAAAGAAATCATGGTATGGTTAAACAGGATTTATCCCAGGAATGAAAAGCTGGGGAGTTTCTTTTGTTTGTTTTCTACTTCTGGGGTTTGATCCCAGGGCTTGGGCACTGTCCCTGAGCTGTTTTTGCTCAAGGATAGTGCTCTACCACTTGGCCTATACCTTCACTTCCTTGGGGTGGGGTGGGGGACGGGATTGGGAGGGGTTGATGATTTTATTCATAAGAATCTTAAAACCTTTCCTGCCCAGGCTGGCTTTGAACTATGATTTTTAGATCTCAGTCTCCTGAGTAGCTAGGATTAAAGGCATGAGCCACTGGTGCCCAGTGTAAAGCTGGTTTAACATACGTAAATCAATAAATGTAATATAACACATTAACAAAAACAAGGACAAGAACTAACACGATCATCTCAGTAAATAGAGAAAAAGCTGTTGAAAAGATCCAATACTCCTTTATGATAAAAGCTCTGGAAAATCTGGGAATATATGGAACATTCCTCAGTATAACAAAGACTTATATATATGACAAACCAACAGCCAACTTTATACTTAATGGTGAAAATCTAAAACCATTTTCCCTAAAATTAGGAATGAGACAAGGATGTCCACTCACTCTGCTCATCTTCATCATAGTGCTGGAATTCATAGCAAGAGCAATAAGGCAAGAGAAAAACATAAAGGTGATCCAAATAGGGAGGTAAGAAGCAAAACACTCCCTTTTTGCAGATGGCATGATTCTGTACATAAAGGACCCTATAGACTCTCCCAAGCAACTAGGGCTGATTTAAAACTGGCAAAGTAACAGGGTATAAAATCAACCCATAAAACTGTTAGCTTTTCTATATGCCAACAATGAAAAGGAGACTGAAATCAGGAAAGCCCAAATGATGACAACAAAAAATGATTTGGAGGGCTGGGAAGGTGGCTCAGTGGTAGAGAGCTTGTCTTGCATGCCTGAGGCCCTGGGTTCGATTCCTTAGCATCACATAAGCAAAAAGCCGGAAGTGGTGCTGTGGCTCAAGTGGTAGAGTGCTAGCCTTGAGCTGAAGAGCTGAGGGACAACGCCCAGGCCCAGAGTTCAGGCCCTATGACCAGACCCCACAAAAAAAAAAAAAATGATTTGGAGTGGCCTCAAAACTGTTTTTTAAACAACCATATTCTATTTTTTTCAATTAATATTTCAAAACAGACTTTTGAAAGGCCCTTATGAGACCTCATTCTTTACCTTTGTTAATGTAGGATAGTTTCTTCTAGGTGTCTATCCATACTCCTCTGTGTAATAGATACATAAGTATAAAAATGTAGGAAAGGGCATAGGTATTAGAACCATTCCATTCCTTAAATAAGAGAATGATCCTAGTTTCTGTATTGGTCTTCACTTTTTCTAGAGATTCAGCCTTCCAAAAAGTGAGAAGTTAGCATCTTTCTACTATCTACATTTTGCCTTGTACCTAAAACTTTCAGGCTGTTATAACTAGGCTTTTTCTTCACCATGCCTAGCAGGTAGTTGCCAGACATTTATTATATGAGTATGTATTTGTCTGTGGTGTGGCTCATGAGACATTAAATAAGATTCCTAACAACACAAAATAAAATTTAAGGGATGGGAACTGGGGCTTAGTTGGCAGAGTGCTTGCCTAGCATGCACAAAGACAGAAAACAGAAGAAAAAAAAAAGGAAACAGAAAAAGCCAGAAGTGGCTCTGTGGCTTAAGTGGTAGAGAGCTAGCCTTGAGCAAAAAGAAGCTTGGGGATGGTGCTCAGGCCCTGGGTTCAAGCCCCAGGACTGTCAAAAGTAAAATAAAATTTTAAGCCAAGTTCCAGTGACATTGTAGTCCTACCTGCTTGAAAGGTAGATATTGACTGGGAAGATCACGGTTTGAATCCAGTTCAAGCAAAAGGTTAGTGAGATTCCATTCCAACCAGTAAATGGGACAGTGGTGCACACCTGTCATCCTAGTTGTATGGGAGGCTAGGAGGCTAAGATGAGGTGTTAGGCTAGGCCCAGCAAAAATGTTTAAAAAAACCTATTAACAGAAAAGGCTGGATGTTGCAGGGTAAACCTGTCTTCCCAGTGCTGTCTAGCTAAGCAATGAGTTTAAAGCTTACCGAGTTCAAACTCTACTACAACCCCCCCCCCCCCAAAAAAAAAAAAATGTAGAGCTGGGTATTAGTTGGTACATAGCTTATAATGAGATCAACTTGTAATATATAACAAGACTTTGTCTGGCGGGGGGGGGGGGGGGGGGGGGGGGGGGGAGGGGGGGAGCATGATAAGTAAATACTTCTCTGGCTGGTTCTTTTTGGCCGGGCCCTTTCCTTCTCTTTATTCCAAGTTGTTGAAAGTGTTTCTATTCACTCTTATTTTTTCAGTGTTCTCACTGTCATTGCCACAAGAACTCAACTACTCAGAATTTTAACTGCTTCATTTGTAGACATTTTACTTTATTTTTTCATATTCAAAGTTTTTAAATGTGTTCCGGATATATTGTTCTTTGTGAACTATATTTTATGTTGATCTTTGTACTGAGTTTTTATAAAAAGAGATATATAAGATGATTTATAGGACAGGACCTATCTGCCAAATTCAAGGGCCAGAACTGGTTTCTTCTTTATTTAATAACAGAATGATCCTGTTTTGTGCCATTTCTATTTGCTTGATTTCTACCCTGATTATGTAATACATTTCTTGTGTTACTAAGTGTATTTGCATTTAGTTATTTTAAGATTTTTTTATCTGTCAAGTTTTTATTTTTTTGCTGGTACTAGGGTATAAACTTCAGGCCTCAGGCTGGCTCAGCTTGCTTATTCAGCTGGTGCTTTAGCACTTGCACCACAAATCCAGCCCAGCTTTTTACTGGTTCTTTTAGAGATAAGAATCTTGCAAACTTTCCTTCTCCTACTAGTTTTGTTATTCTTGTTTGAATTTCAGCCTCCAGAGTAACTGGAATTACAAGCCACTGGCTACTGAACCACCAACATTCAGTGATAATGATTTTGAAGTAATTACATATACTTGAATTTTAAAAGTTCCTTCTTTAAATCTTGAATGTAACCAAGAAAGATATGTAGGTTCATCCCATTTCTCACCATTTATCCTAAGTTGATACCTATAGTATTAAGTGGTTTTAATTATAGCTATAGAACTATTTTGGCATTATATTACTTCATTGCATGCTCATTCATTAATAAAGAAATACCTGTCAGGAGACTGAGATCTAATGATCTCAGTTAAAAGCCACCCCAGGCAGAAAAGTTCATGAGACTCTTACCTCCACTAAAATCTATAGATGGAGATATTTTGCAAGTTATTGAGTGCCAGCCTTGAACAGGAAAGAAAAGAAAAATTACAGGCACCAAAAGAAAAATGTAATAAAGACTTCTAAATAATCTACAATTTATCTTTGAGTAGTTTTGTATTTACTTAACTATTTTAACCCTTATTATAAAGTGGGGTATGATTTTACCTTGATTACGCTCTGTATAAAGGTGGCTTTTCTACCTTAAATATAAGGTGATATTTTATAGTTAATAAAAAGAGCTAAATTCTTATTGGACAATTACATCATTTAAAAGGATAATTTTGTTTGATAACTTAAGTGTAAATTATTGCAAAAAGCATAAAATTATTTTTCAGTTGTTAATCCAATTTGGTCCCACATATAAATTAGTACTTCAAAAGATTTATTTAAAATATTTTATGTAAAATATTTCAATTTTATTTTCTTTCTTTTTGTTGCAGGAGCTAGAGTTAATGCCAAAGACAGCAAATGGTTGACACCTTTACACAGAGCAGTTGCATCTTGTAGTGAGGTATGACATTTCTTATAGTAAATTTATTGCATATAAAAAATAAGAGAATAGCTTTTGTGAGTCCAAATTTAAATTCTGTATTTTCAGAAGAAGAAAAAATTATTGAAATATTTAGATATTTCATTTCAGAATTTGTATAAACAAGGTCATTGTAACTGTCTCATTTCGTCTGAAGAATCTCTTGAAGAGTATGAAGTAAATGACAGTAGAAACCCTTATTTCCATCCCTTTATATGAGAAATTATTCTTCTTACAGTTTTCAGTGAGGCTTTCTCTATTGGTTCTTACTAGCTAACTGCCAAGGTTCTGATGATTGTCATCAAGTCATCATCTTATTTTAAAATAGTTGAAAACAAGTTTCAAAAATATTACTTCTTTTAGCAGTTGGATATGTAAAACTTATTTATAGCCCTTTATGTATTTGTTCAACTGGCATTTTTAGAGAACATGATATCTTTTATTAGTGATAGGTATTTTGAAGCAACTAGAAACCACTCACTGTTAAACAATGATGGATGAAACTCCTGGATTGTCTTTTTCTGTATTTTGCTGCTTTGTAAAGTACATTATTAGGCATACACCTTTCACCTAACTCTACAAAATAATGGATTTCTTTCTTTCTTTCTTTCTTTCTCTCTCTCTCCTTCCTTCCTTCCTTCCTTCCTTCCTTCCTTCCTTCCTTCCTTCCTTCCTTCCTTCCTTCCTTCCTTCCTTCCTTCCTTCCTTCCTTCCTTCCTTCCTTCCTTCCTTCCTTCCTTCCTTCCTTCCTTCCTTCCTTCCTTCCTTCCTTCCTTCCTTCCTTCCTTCCTTCCTTCCTGTATTGGGGCCAGAACTCGGCCTGGGCACTGTCCCTCAGCTCTTCAGCTCACGGCTAGCACTCTAGCCACAGTGCCCCTTCCAGCTTTTTCTGCTTATGTGGTGCTGAGGAATCAAACCCAGGGCCTCATGCATGCAGGGCAAGCACTCTACCACTGAGCCACCTTCCTAGCCCCAAGATTTCTTGATTTTTAAAATGGTTTGTTTGTTTAGGGTACTGGTCCTGGAGCTTGATCTCAGAGCCTGGCTTCTGTCTCTGAGCTTCTTTTTGCTTAAGGCTAGCCTTCTACCACTTGAACCACAGCTCCCACTTCCAGCTTTTTGGTAGTTCATTGGAGATCAGAGTCTCACAGACTTTCTTGCGCAGGCTGGCATCAAACTATGATGTCCTTGTGAAAATTTAGAAAATAGACTGCAGTAAAGGTTTTATGTCTCTCACACTATCTCAGCATAATCTAAAACTTATTTCAAATTTGACCTTTGAAAAGTTCATCTCCTTACATACCCCTCTGGGGTCATGGATGTTTTCTGTTAAAGAAAATAAGGAGTAGGGAGCCAGTGGCTCATACCTATAATCCTAGCTACTCAGAAGGCTAAGATATGAGGATTCCATTCAAAGCTAGCCTGGGCAGGAAGTCATGAGACTTTTATCTCCAGTTAACCACCAGAAAACTGGAAGTGGCAAGTGGCCCTGTGGCTCAAGTGGTAGACCCTAGCCTTGAGCTGAAGAGCTGAGGGACAGCGTCCAGGCCCACAACCAACCAAAACAAAAAGAAAAGGATTGCTCGCTTTGTCTTCATGATGAATCAGTTTTAATAAAAACAAGTGGTGGGATTGATTTAGAAAACCTTGAGTACATTTTCTATCAGTTGTGATAGATTCAAGGATATCTCAAATAGTATAATTCCTTAGAGAGGCAAAATCAAAGTTCAATAAACTAAGCCATCAGGAAGTAGGTACTCAAAAGGAGGGGGATTAGGAGGAGGAGTCAAGGGGAAAAGGGCTGATGAATGAAGAGAAGAGGAAAGAAATACAAATAAGAATCCAAGGTATATCTTACAAAATTAAGAGTGAAGAAGTGGGGGGAGTGAGATAAGGGAAGGATGGGCAAGAATGTTGAAAGGGGCAACATTGATCAAGATATATTGTATTCAAGCTAAGCACCGGTGGCTCTTGCCTGTAATCCTAGCTACTCAGGAGGCTGAGATCTGAGGATCACAGTTCAAAGCTAGCCTGGGCAGAAAAGTCCCTGTGAGAGTCTTATTTTCAATTAACCACTCAAAAACTGGAAGTGGAGCTGTGGCACAAAAGTGGTACAGAACTAGCCATGAGCAAAAGAGTTCAGAGACCGTTCCTAGGCATTGATTTCAAGCCCCACAACTGACAAAAAAAAGATATATTTATATCTGCTTTGTTAAATGGTAACTCCCTTGTACAACTTCTTAAGATTTTTTTAAAAGTTAAAAATAACACCAGTGATGATTTAAAAATATATATGGTTAGTATTGTTTTTCTCCTGTAGAGTTTGTGCAAATACCTGTGCTTTCTTAATAAAACATACACACATTTGTGTGTGTTCTGTCTTTTCTGCTTGTCTGTCTCTGAACTGCAGTCTTCTAGATCTCAGCTTCCTGGGTAGCTAAATGTTATAGGCATGAACCACCACAGCCATCTGTTGTTTCTGAGGGGTTTTTTGTTTTGTTTTTTACCTAGGAATAAGCTGCTGTGAGCATTCATGGAGAGATCTGTTTTTATTTCTCTTGAGTAAATACCTAGAGTGGAATTATGAAGGCATAGACCTCCACATATCTTTGATTGACTAACTGACTTCTTTTCCTCCTCCTTTCACCACCCTGTTAACTCCTTGTGCTCTTTCCCATATATCAGACAGTTGTGATTACTTTTTGTTTTAAAGGCTTAACATGCTTTGATGATTTAGGAGTATTTGGTTACTATTTTTTGATGTTTTACATATTTGTAACTAGTAGTTTGTAACACTCTAAATATATGTTAGTTCATTGTACCTTATAGTAAACTTGAGAAAAGCAAGCAGTATCCCTTCTCCCTGGCCTTACAGATTATAAAAATCCGCAAGGGTCAGTTTTACCAGACTTGAATAGTATGCTTTGTAAACAAGAAAATTTGACAGTAGAGTTCTGTTCTGGTCTTTTTTATTTTCATATGTAACTTGTCATTATCTACCAAAGATAGAATTATGTTCAATGTACAGAGAAAAATTTTTGCTAGATTCTATTTGTGATATTGCTTAATGGTAGTGATGTACTAAATTCTTGGGATCCTGCCATTAGTTCAATGTACAACTACGGTGTTGAGAGGTTTTCTTCACTTCTGATAGATACATCACATTGTTCACTAAACTCTTGCCTTAACTCTAGTATTTCAACGAAAGACTGTATATTTCTTTTTATTTTTACATGTCCCATTATAAAGCAGCAGATCTCCTTAAATATGTTCAACATACAAGTATTTTAGGCCTGTGCTTGCCAAGGCAGGTGCTTTACTACTTGAACCCAGCCCCATTCTAATTCCTATATTTTGGATAGGGAGAGAATGTTTCAGGATTATACATCTATTTCTGTCTATGAGTAGTTTTTTGTTGTTGTTGTTTTAATTTTTGGTCGGTCGTGGGTCTTGAACTCTGGGCCTGGGTGCTGTCCCTCAGCTCTTGCTCAAGTCTAGGGCTCTACCACTTGAGCCACAGTGCCACTTCTGGTTTTCTGGTAGTTAATTGGAGATAAGAGTCTCACAGACTTTCCTCCCTGGGCTAGCTTTGAACTTTGAGTCTCAGATCTCAGCCTCCTGAATAGCTAGGATTACAGGCATGAGCCACCGGCGCCCAGCTTATGAGTAGTTTTTTAATTAAAAATATTTTGTTTTCTTTAATGAATTCCTTTTTTTTCCTTTATAGAACCATTTTTGTAAATAACTTCCAAAGCCATTTACTCACTTGTCTTTTATTTATCTTGGGTATTTTAGGAAGCAGTTCAGGTACTTTTGAAGCATTCTGCAGATGTGAATGCTCGAGACAAGAATTGGCAAACTCCTTTACACATAGCTGCGGCTAATAAAGCTGTGAAGTGTGCAGAAGCTTTGGTGCCTCTCCTAAGCAATGTAAATGTATCTGACCGAGCAGGAAGAACTGCATTACATCATGCTGCTTTCAGTGGACATGCAGAGGTGGGTGCATTCAGTTACACAGAGTTTACCTTCCCTACCACCCCTGCTTATTAATGAGCTTGCCTTTTTTTGACCATTCACTCTATAATGAAAGCAAACAAAACTATCTTGCTTATTTTCATCAAATTTTGCCTTTAATGAGCCATCAATATTTTTTCCTGACAAATCTTTCAAACTTAGAGATATGTTTAGTACATTCTGATTATACCCTTGAATTCCAGAGTAAACATAGAATGATGAAAATTTTATCCAACTATAAGCAACATGAAAGAGGTATTATATCACTGAAAAAAAATCTAGGGAGAAAGCAGTTTTACTATTCTCTTGAAAGGATAGCAAAGAAAGGCAGTTTAGAAATAATTTGCTTGTGTTATATATTTGGCAGTATGAAATTTGGGCTTGCACTTGCATTTTGAGCCTGATCTCTGGCCCCTTTTGCTTTTGGATTATTTTTTAGATAGAATATTGGGATGTTTGTCTGTTTTGCTTGTCTAGTTTTGCCCATGGTTCATATGGATCATTATCTTCTTGTATATATCTGGAACCATAGATGTGTATCTGGAAGCCCATCATTTTGGTTGAGATGGGAGTCTCTATTTAATTTTTTACCTAGGCTGGCTTTGAGCTAGTCTTCCCAATCTCTCCCACCCAAATAGCTGGGATTATAAACATGAGCCATCACATTTGACTAAAAAATACACTTTCATACAGTTTATTATACTCAACATTTAGCAGAACTCTTTGATGACAGATTGATCAAAAAAAAATCCAGTTATCTTTCAAAGTATCACTTCTACTAGTTGAATTAGACAAAGTTAGATGAACATTTGAGGCTAACTTGTCCAGTATTTCTGTTGTTGTTATTGGGTGGTTGTTTTTGTTTTGTTTTGTTTTTGTTTTGTTTTTGGGTTCGGTCGTGGGGCCTGAACTCTGGGCCTGGGCGCTGTCCCTCAGCTCTTCAGCTCAAGGCTAGCGCTCTACCACTTGAGCCACAGCGCCACTTCCGGCTTTTTTCTTTTTTGCTTTATGTGGTGCTGAGGAATCGAACTCAGGGCCTCATGCATGCAAGGCAAGCACTCTACCACTGAGCCACCTTCCCAGCCCCTGTTTTGTTAGTTTTTGAGAAGAGATTTTTCCCATGTTCATCTCAAAACCAAGGTCATGTTACCCTCAGCCCACTAAATAGCTAAGACTACAGGTATTCCCTTCAGTAATTGACTCCTACTCCTTTTTTTTTTACAAACACAGAATTGCAAAGAGATAGGTAACATTCTTAGCACAGAGCTAATGGCCTCAGTGTTCTTTTCATGGTACTACTCTGATTTTCCAGTGTGAGGATCCTTGTCTAACTGCAGTTAATGTCACAAGATGAAGTCTGCAGTGTCCTTCAACAGAGAAAGAATTGTAAATACAATTAGATATAATTATTATTATTGGTATTGGTACATTATGCAGTAAGTAGATTATGCAGCAACCTTCAGCCTTAACCATATTGTAGAGACTACATTTGTGCTTGAATTAAATTTAAGAAATTTCTGGGATGAGATTGGACTTTGCATTCTAATAATACTTTGGGCTATGAGTAAGAATAAAACCTGTTTAAATATCCTTTCGATGTCCAGATGTATACTTAGTTTCCATAAATACCAGGATACAGAGTAGTAATTGAAAAGATACTGTTGTCTGACTTCAACTCATACAGGTGAACCCTTTTTATCTTTTTCAATATTTTATCCTGTTACTATTTCTACTAATATAAAAATTAAATACCAGAGAAACTGCTATGAGTACCCAAGGCATATCTATGAAGTTCTGCTTCTGAATTTCTGTGAAACTATTTACTTTTATTACAGATGGTCAAACTGCTCTTATCCAGAGGTGCCAATATTAATGCTTTTGACAAGAAAGATAGGCGTGCTATCCATTGGGCGGCATATATGGGTATGTGATTTTTAAATTTACTTTTTAACATCTGTATTTAAGAAAAGCTGTACATTTTAGTTCTTACCAGTTGGATAACATTTCTTGCAGTATAGTGAAAAATTACTGTATTTGAGTTGACTGATCTGTGGAACCAGCTTGGGAATGGGAGGTTTTCTATGACAAAAGTACACTGGATCCACTTTATCTAAAAGCTGGTATTGCTTTTTTTTTTTTTTTTTTAAATATCTTTAAGTAGCTTTAGGTAGTTGTACAAAGCTTCTTATGAATACAGTGTATCTTGATCAGTGACAACCCCCTTCAACATTCTTACCCCTTAAAACCCATTCCTTCCATTACTTTATAAATTTTGTGTATATACAATGCATAATCACCTCTTTTTCTCTTTAGTATACCCTCTCCCCTTGGTCCTACCCCCTCTCCTATTGCATACACCCATTTCCTGGTGCTGATTTTGTTGAGCTTTGACCTAGTCTTTCTAAAAGATTATACTATTTGGGTTCTCTGTAGTCGGTTACACTTAAAGAGATACCTCAGACTTGGTACTTTGATGTTTAATTTAGGATTAGAATTTCCTAAAAGTGGGGCTGGGAATGTGGCTCAGTGGTAGAGCGCTTGCCTTGCATGCCTGAGGCCCTGGGTTTGATTCCTCAGCACCATATAAGCAAAAAGAAAAAAAGCCAGAAGTGGCTCTGTGGCTCAAGTGGTAGAGCGCTAGCCTTGAGCTGAAGAGCTAAGGGACAGCGCCCAGGCCCAGAGTTCAGGCCCCACAACCGGACCCAAAAATAAATAAATAAATAAAAGAATTTCCTAAATGTGTCCTTTCTCATATCCATCCTGTTTTTATTGGAATGTTGAGATAAAATAATAAGATGTATTAATAAGCCTGTTATTTTGAATGCTACATTAAACCTGCATCATATTTGCCTTCAGTTACAGTAGAAATTTGAAAGAAACTGAATTTTAAAGGCATCGTTGCTGTATTAGGTGTTTTTGAAAAATCTTATGATTGTACTTGAAAACTAATGTAACTTCTGAGAAAAATGGACCTAGGATACACACCTAAAAACCTGTCTTTGTGATCAGAACATTAACAAAACCATTCATTGGTGCTCATGATAACTTGGTGAGCCAGAGAGGCAAATCAAAGTCTGTGTTAGAAAATTTTAAAGTATACAGAAATAGTAGCATAGAAATGTTCTTTGCAAGCCAGGCACCGTGGCTCATGACTATAATCCTAGATATTCAGGATGCGGAGACATGCAGAATTGAAGTTGAAAGCCAATGTGGTCAAAAAAGTTCATGAGATTTTTATTTATTTATTTTTGGTTGGTCATAGGGTTTGAACTCTGGGCTTGGGTGCTCTCCCTGCACTCTTCAGCTCAAAGCGAGCACTCTACCGCTTGAGCCACAGCGCCACTTTCGGTTTTCAAGTGGTTTATTAGAGATGAGTCTCACGGACTTCCTGCCCAGGCTGGCTTTGAACCACAATCCTCAGATCTCAGATTCCTGAGTAGCTAGGATTATAGGCGTGAGCCACTGGACACTCAGAAGTTCATGAGATTTTATTTCCAGTTAACCAGCAAAAAACCAGCTCAAGAGGTAGAATACTGGCCGTGAGGGGAGAAAGGTCAGCAAGAGCACAGAGCCCTGAGTTCAAGCCCCAGCACTAGCACAGTAAACAAAACTAAATATTGTACAAAGACCATATAGATGAAAATAATAAACAAGGAGGAAATAGATTCTGCCATGGGCTTTTTTTTTCCCTTTTTTAATTTTTTTTTTTTTTTTTTTTTTGGGTCTGGTCGTGGGGCCTGAACTCTGGGCCTGGGCGCTGTCCCTTAGCTCTTCAGCTCAAGGCTAGCGTTTTACCACTTGAGCCACAGCGCCACTTCCGGCTTTTTTCTTTTTGCTTATGTGGTGCTGAGGAATCCAACCCAGGGCCTCATGCATGCAAGGCAAGCGCTCTACCACTGAGCCACCTTCCCAGTCCATTGCCATGGGCTTTTGAAGTGCTATAATTCTGGAATTGTGCCTTTTGGAGGAAGCCTTTTTTTGGGAGGGTAAGTTTGAGTTTCAACTGATGCCTTAAACTGGAATTTGAAGTCAATCAAAGCCTCCAACTTGCTATGCAGGTACTCTACCAGAGATACACCTCCAGCCCTTTTTTGTGCTAGTTATTTTTTGTAGTTATAGGCTTGCTTACTTGCCTGCCTGCCTGCCTACCTGCCAGTACTGGAGATTGAACTCATGAGCCTCCTGTTGGTTGGACTTCTTTTGCTCATGGCTAACACTCTGTTATTTGCGCCACTCCTCGATCTATCCTGTTTTTGTTTGTTTGTTTGTTTGGTGGTTAATTGGAGATATGGAGTCTTAGGGACCATGGTCCTTCAGGTCTCAGCCTCTTGAGTCTTGCATGTATGCCTGGACTGGCCTGAAACTGCACTCTTCCAATCTCAGCCTCCCAAGAAGCTAGCATTATGAACTTTGAGCTACCAACACCTGGCTGAACAATTCACTTTTTAATATTGTTAAAAAGAACTCTAGAATGGAGATTTTCAGTGGTAGAACACTTATTTTTAGCATGTGAAAGACTCTGAATTCAATGTCAGGACCATGAGAGAGAGGACAGGCAGAAATCCCTTCCTTTGTAGCTGTGGAGTTCAAGACTTGTTCTCCTGTTAAAAGTTGTAACTTTGTGATTCTATTATGTTGATTCCTTTGTCTAGTAAAAGTTACATATGAATTGGGATGTCTTCTGTGATACTAGAATGATTTTGAGATGTACCAGTAGAACTACCTGATTTCAGAGACATCTAGTTAGCTACTCCAGTAGGCATAGATTATCTTCAGTGTTTTCTAGTGTTGATTTTATTGGTTTTGTCATCCCCCCCCCCCCCCATTTTTCATGTAAAAATAAAAGATGAAAGCTAGGTGCCAGTGGCTCATGCTTATAATCCTGACTACTCAAGAGGTGAGGTCTGAGGATCACAGTTCAAAGCCAGCCGAGAAAGGAAAGTCCAGGTGACCCATTTTTTTTTTTTTCTTTTTGTCGGTCATGGGACCTGAACTCTGGGCCTGGGTGCTGTCCCTCAGCGCTTCAGCTGTACCAGCGCTCTACCACTTGAGCCTTAACCCCACTTCCGGCTTTTTCTGCTTATGTGGTGCTGAGGTATCGAACCTAGGGATTCATGCATGCAAGGCAAGCACTCTACCACTGAGCCACCTTCCCAGCCCCCAGGAGACTCTTATCTCCAGTTAACTACCCAAAAGGTTAGAAGTGGAGCTGTGACTCAAGTGGTAGAGGTCTAGGACTAGCCTTGAGCTCAGAAGCTCTCATGGATAGCACCCAGGTCCTGAGCTTAAGCTACATCAATAGAAGATTATTAACTTTGAATAGCAGTGGATCTAGGAGTGGTAGAATATTTATCTAACATGTACGAAGTTGTGAGTTCATTCTCTAGCTTGAGAAAGAGAAGGAGGAGGGGAGGACAGGGATTAAAACAACCTGTGGGAGGTAGAAAAGAAAATTCTAGGCAAAAGGAAGATTATAGATTAAAAGTTACTGTTTAACAAAACAAGTGTGTTGTTTTAAGTTATTGTCATTAAGTTCTTAGTTATCTAATATTTATCAAAGTTATTCTTACATTTTTCTGTCCTTTCAATTTTAACATGATTTATTGGTTATTTTTATGTATTATGGGATTGTTGTGCATTTTTTCTATTCTTGAAAAGCATTCAGATTATATTTAATATTTTATATATTTTCATCTTTTTGTTTTTTCCTCATAAACTTGTTTTCAGGTCATATAGAAGTAGTGAAATTACTAGTAGCACATGGAGCTGAAGTGACATGTAAGGACAAGAAATCTTACACACCTCTTCATGCAGCAGCCTCTAGTGGAATGATCAGTGTAGTCAAGTATCTTCTGGATCTTGGAGTTGATGTAGGTATATAATGGAACATTTTTTATTTTTGTTAATATATTGATGGCAGAAGTTATTTCAGGTTTAAAGTATTATTTCATACAGTAATATTTTGTCTTTTAACCAGATATTTGTAGTTCTTTACCTAGTATACTGATTTATGATCCAGATATGTAATTAGTCAAAGAATATTAAGAGTTAAAATATATTTTTCTCATCATATTTCAAGTTCTGTAACTTTTCTGTCTCTGGGAGATTCAGCAGATCAGACATGTGAGTTAGATGACTGTGTTCTTATTAACCTTTTTATTGATTTATTTTCATTAATTTTTATCAATTACATTTGTTATGCAGAGGGAATTTCATTGGTACAATTCCACACAGTTTTTAAAGTATAGTCCAATTTATTGTTAATCTTCTTAGTCTGATAAACATTATAACTTTTAATGAGAAAAGCTAAACAAGAACACAAAAGACTTTGTGCTAAATTAGCATATGTCTTCTGTTGGGAAGGGATGCTTCTGTATCTGGATTTATTTGATTCCTGAGTTGATACAACAATTTTCACAGAACTCACGTTTCCCCTGCTGTTACTATATTTACTCTCTTGTAAGAAAGATAGGATTCTTTGGGATACAGCCTTGCTAGGTAGCCTGGCTTGTCTAGAATTCACAGTCCTCCTAACTAAGCTGAGTACTAAGAGTACAGTTTTCTGCCACCATATTTGAGAAACATTTGGGACAAACTTGTTAGTTCTTCAAAGCAGTAAATTAGAAGGAAAGAAGGCAAGGCTCTGCCAGAAAGAGGCAAACAATTAGTTTCAAAAAAGCCAGATACCAGTGATTCATACCTATAATTCTAGCTACTTAGCAAGATGTGATCTGAGGACCACAGATCAAAGTCATTCAGGGCGGAAAAGTCAGAGGTAGAGCTGTAGCTCAGTGGCAGAACACTAGCCTTGAGTAAAAAAATCTCAGGGATAGCACCCAGGCCCTGAGTTCAAACCCTAAGACCAACAGCATTAAAAAAAAAAAATGTAGATGGTGGTCTGATTAGACAAAAATATACATGATAGTTGTTGAGCTGGATAGACTATCATATAAATGTAAGTACCTAAAGAACACTGCTGAAAATAAGCAGACAATGAAACTGGGAGAATTACAAGAAGTTGCAAGCCTTAATAAATTGTGTGGGATCTAGTCAGATACAAAACATAAACGTTTCATTTTATCTCAGAGTTTTGTATAATTCTCAACATGGTAACATAAAGTCTTCAGAATTCCTGATGTGGACAAATGAGACAATTTTGTATCTGACAGTGGTTTTAAATCTTTTTGCTGCCATTTTAAAACTTAACCTGGAATGATGGTGCACGCTCCTGTAATCCCAGAACTTAAAAGGCTAAAGCTATTGGATCATGAGTTTGAAGCCACCCTGGGCTACATAATAAGAAACTGTCTCAAAAACAAAAACTTAATGAATAGTAAAATAACACCATTTTTATTAGAAATGGAAAGGGAGGGGAAAGCCTTGCATATTGAGAATATTCTTTGGTCTTTTGATAAGACAAAAACACAGGTGGCAGTGTTTTTATCACCTAAAACTCTTTTAATCACATCTGACCTCTGCCTACATCTTGCTTTCTGTTTTTAAAGTTTCCTAGGGATACTATTACAAATTGCCATAAACTAGGTGTCTTAAAGCCACAGCCATTTACTCTTACCAGTTTTGCACTGTAGAAAGTCTAAATGAAGGTTTTAACAAAGTTGGTTCCTTCCAGGGGCTGTGCTTTGAGAGAGAATTTTCTGGTAATGACATCTATAAGCTTTCAATATTTTTTTTACATTTAACACTATTATCTATATTCTAAGAAAAGATTGAAGTTGCGATAAGCTGAAGCCACTACAACTGTAGTGTTCCTCCAACAAGACTACCCTCGTTTTTGTGTGCCAGTAGTGAGGCTTGAACTCAGGGCCTGGGTGCTGTACCATAGCTTTTTCAATCAAGACTAATGCTCTACCACATAGCCATAGCTCCACTTTTCAGCTTTTTGCTGGTTAATTGGAGATAAGAACCTCATAGACTTTCCTCCCTGGATGACTTTAAACCACAGTCCTCAGATCTCAGCTTCATTGTAGCCAGGATTACAGGAGTGCTTTATCCTCACCTGTGAACAATTATGTATAGAAGGGCTTCAAGCTTCAGGTTTGATGATTCATTAGGAGGACTCACATAACTCACTGAAAGCGGTTAGCATTCACAGTTATGGTTTATTACAAGGGGAAAGTACAAATTAAGATCTGTTGAAGGAAAGGAAACAGATAGGATAGAGCCCCAGGCATATTCTTAAAGTTTCTATCATTCTCTTCTCATGGAGACAGGACCCACTAACTTTTCTAGTATTAATATGTGACAGTATGCACAATGCAATGCCAACTGAGAATGATCATCTTAGCTTCATTTGTACAGTTTTTTTTTAACTTGGGTTCCAATTACATAGGTGTGATTGGTTGACCATTGATGGTTTAGTCTCCAAGCTTGCTTACAAAACTCCCATCTTAAATTCCATGGTTGGTTTAAATCTGGCACAGTTGGTCTTCATTCTAAGATAAGCAGATATGATCAATCTAATTCTAAGGTCCAATGAGTGAACACCCTCAACAAGGACACTGCTATCAGGTATATTTTAGGTTACCTCCTTGAAGCCAAAAGCTAAGTCCACATCCCTTTGGGCAAGGTAAAATTCTTTATTATAGTAGTTGTTGCTGATGCTGATAGTGGTGATGGTGGTACTGTGGTTTGAACTGTGAGCCTTATGCTTGCTAGGCAAACACTACCAATTGAGACATATCACCCCCAGTCCCCCAGACTTTTTTCTTTATTTTTCAGAGAAGGTTACAAACTTTTTTGCCTTGCCCTAGTCATGAATTCTACCATCTACCATCTCTTCCTCCTATGTAGTTGGGATTATAGATATGACTTACCTTGTGGCCTTGTGTATTGAGAATGTGGTCTTACTGACTTTTTGCCTAGGCTAGCTTCCAGCCATAATCTTCCCAGATACTGGGATTACAGGTGTAAGCCATGATGCTAAATCCAAGGTATAGTTTTTTGCCATGTAAGACTTATGTAGCCAGGCACCGGTGGCTCATGCCTGTAATTCTAGTTACTCAGGAGGCTGAGATCTGAGGATCGCGGTTCAAAAGTCCCTGAGACTTATCTCCAATAAACCACCAGAAACCAGCGCTGTGGCTCAAGCAGTAGAGAGCTCACCTTTAGCTGAAGAGCTGAGGGATAGTGCCCAAGCCCAGAGTTCAAGCCCCACAACTGACCCAAAAAAAAAAAAAAAATCATGTAAACTTTAAAGTATTATACTATATTTATTAGAAATGGAAAGGGACGGGGCTGGGAAGGTGGCTCAGAGGTAGAGTGGTTGCCTTGCAGGCATAAGGCCCTGGGTTTGATTCCTCAGCAGCTCATAAGCAGAAAAAGCCAAAAGTGGTGCTGTGGCTCAACTAGTAGAGCACTAGCCTTGAGCTGAAGGGTTGAGGGACAGCACGCAGGCCCAGAGTTCAGGCCGCACGACTGGCCAAAAAAAGAAAGAAATGGAAAGGAAGGGAGAAAGCCTGAATTGCATTATTATTGAGCATATTCTTTTGTCTTTTGATAAGATTTCAACATGTAAAGCTAGGAAAAATTTACAAGTTTTTGACAAATAATTTTTAATAGAAAAATATGCAAAATATGTCATGTAGTTTTAAGAAAAACTCCGAATCTCTAACTTACTAACTTTGTTATTATAAAAGAAAATGCTAAAAACATACATTTTACTGAATATATTCAATCTTCAGTCTTGTTCTTTATTCATAATTCTTAGAGTTAATTATATGGTAAATCTCTTTTTTCTAAGAGACTTTAAAAATGTTTTTTTAATTTTCATATTCTAGAATCATCATTTGGTTGTGTCATTAGTACACATTCTATTTGAATTATATTCTCTAAATATACACAACTGTTTTAGCACCAAGTACTTATGTTAATTATTTAAAAGAACTTTAGTGTTATAAGCCTCATCCGTGTTTTTGTCCCTTTTTTTCTCTCACTTTATTAATTTGATTGCAACCACGTGCTTCCTAAAATAGCTTGCAGTAATAATTATTAGCAAAGTTACTGTAACATTGACACTTTTTCACCCTTCCAATAGATGAATGAACCAAATGCCTATGGGAACACACCTCTTCACGTGGCCTGCTATAATGGACAAGATGTTGTTGTGAATGAGCTCATAGACTGTGGTGCTAATGTAAATCAAAAGAATGAAAAAGGATTCACTCCTTTGCACTTTGCCGCTGCATCAACGCATGGAGCACTGTGTTTAGAACTTCTAGTTGGCCATGGGGCTGATGTCAATATGAAGGTATAGAACAATTAGAATCTATATTTTAAATATTTAGCTATTTAAAACAATATCCAAATGAATATAATAATTTTATAATAAGAAAGTACTAATAAACTTTTAAGTGCAACGGCAAATCTATGTGGTGAGCAAGAGAATATATGCACTCATTTCTGATTTAGGTAAGGTTCTACAACAGATGAAATTCCATTTTTATGGGATTCTAGAATCTAGCTAAAGAATCAGAACAGTTGTCATCTCTGGAAGCAAGGACTGTCCAGGAAAGAGGCATGAGAAAATTTTATAGGGTAATGATAATGTTTTGTAGTTTATCATTTATACTTGTTTATATTAAGCATTTTTTAACTCAAAGGGAATACTTTACAGATTTGAACATGGCTATATAGTTGTCTAACTCTTCAAATTTGGAATTGAGACTCAGGTCTGTCTATAAGTGGTTCACTTACAAAACGCGCAAACTAGTGGGCCTATTTGAAGCTAAGTTCTCAGTGATTCAATCATGTATTTTATGTTCAATAAAGGATTTTTTTCTTTCAGCAAAGACATTAGTATGTAATATCTTAATAGATGTGAAGGCAACAGACAGTAAGAAATGGATTTCATGTAGGTTGCTTTAATCTTGCCTAAGATGTGTGACATTCTGCTTATATGCAGTTTATATAGCTGTATTTTTGGTAGAGCTAGGGATTGATGCTTATTAGGCACACATTTTATCACTTTAGCCATTCTGTAAGGCCCTTTTTACATTAGTGGATTAGAGGGGTGTGTATGTGTGTGTGTGTGCGCGCGTGTGCGTACATGATTAGTCTTGGCCTTGAACGCTTACGGCTAGTGCTCTACTACTTGAGCTATAGCTCCACTTCTGGTTTTTTGATGCATAATTGGAGATGAAAGTGTTAGAGACTTTCCTGCCAGAGCTGACATTGAACCAAAATCCTCAGATCTCAGCCTCCTGGAGATGGCAAGGCACCAAGGCCTCATCCCACTCTAGTTATTTTTTAGGTGAGGTCTCACTTGATGCCTGGGCTGACCTAGGCTGCCATCTTATTTATGTTTTTCTGTGTCTCTGGATGGCACGCTTAGCCCACCATGCCAAGCCATTAGTCAAGATGGAGTCTCACAAACTTTTATGCCTCTTCTCGCCTAGAACCTCAATTAACTCAATCTCTGCCTCCCAATTAGCAGATTAAAGGCTTGAGCCACTGCATCTAGCCAAAAAGATAAATCTGTCCTCTTTGTTTTTTCATTAATTTACTACCAAGTTTCATTGAAACATACCTCATGTTCATTTCTAAGGTTTCTTAGATCTCTGAAACTTGCAAAAGTTGTAGATTTTAATAAGCAAAGTCTGTATATTAACTCCTACCACTTGGATTTGTCATATGTGTTTAAGTTGTTTGGCTGATGGGCTAGGTCCTTACTTAACATTTTCCCTGTTAACAAGGCAATTAAATTTGCTAGTGTTCATGTTCTTTGTTTTATATTCATTCTTGCTGCTTTTCTTTCTACCTTGTTCTTCCTTTTGTTTTATCTCCTTAGTTATCTTGATTACTAGAAATTAGATTGTGAATTTTTTTTGTTAAAATGCTATTATGGTTTTGTTTCTAGTTGAAAGAATGCATACTAGTGTATTTTTAAAGCATCAAATAAAAACACTGGCTTACATTATAACAGACCTTTATTTATTAGATGTTCTACAAATATTATTATATTTACACTGTAAAACAGACTTATGAATTAGAGATGGTATACATTTTTAGTTGAGAAAGTAAAGGTTCCAATAAGTTAGGCAGCTTGCCCAAAATCTTGCTGTGGTTAAGTAGCACTCAGCTCTCTACTGGTTAAGTGGTGGCGCTCAGCTCTACTACCAGAACCCATGTAGGCATGCATTTGCTCTCATCCCTTCTCACACACCCTTCAAAGGATTAGAAATTCCTCATGATTTCCTGGATGGCTTGTTTGCTAAAAATTAAGGTATGCTGCTGGTGGCTGATGGCTAAAATCCTAGCCACTCAGGAGGTTGAGATTTGAGGCTCAAGATTCGAAGCTGGCTAGTGCAGAAAAGTCCGTGAGACTCTTATCTCCAGTAAACGACACAGAAAAAGCCAAAGTGACACTGTGGCTCAAGTGGTAGAGTACTAACCTTGAGCAAAAGATGCTCAGGAATCAGCTTCCAGGCCCTGAAATCAAGCCCTAGAATCACATTCCCCCCACTCTCCCAAAGTTCATATGAAGCACTGGGTACAGTGATTTACATCTGTGGTTCCTGCTATTGTGGATACAGAACCTGGGAGTATTGTGGTTCTAGGCCAGCTTTAGCAAAAAGTTGAGAGCTTACTATGTCAACCAACAGCCACACATAGTAGTTCACACCAGTGGCTCTAGCTACATTCTCCTGTGTAGGAGGCATAGATAGGAAGATTACAGTCTGAAGTGAAGAACTCTGAAAACAAAATATATAATCATAAACCTAGGTAAGTTCTTAGGATTTATTTTAATACTTTATATGACACAAGGATTTCTTAAGTAATTTTTTTTTGCATTACTTGGGTTTGAACTCATGCTAGTGTGGTGCTCTACTCCTTGAGTCATGCTCCCAACCTGTTTTTTATTAGTTATTTTGGAGATGGAGTCTCAGAATTTTCTGCCCAGCTTTGCCTCTAGAAGAGCTTTACTCATCTAGATCTCAGTCTCTAGATCTCATAGCCTCAGTAGCTGTGATTACAGCTTTAAGACACTGGTGCCCTCACGTTCGTTAAGTAATTTGAGAAAACAATACGGTATTCATTATGGTTATAAATTCGTATTTAGTTTTAAAATTATTTGTAACAACTACAGTTCTTATTCATAGTTGCCTAGGAGCAATGTGAAATACTAAGTCTTGAACTTTGAGACACACATCAAAACTGTACCACTCTTTTATACTTTAGTTTCCTCACTGATAGAATAAAAATGATACTAAGATTATATCTTAAAATACCATCCATCCAAAGCTGTTTTTGTGTGTGTGTGACAATCCTGGGACTTGAACTCAGGTCCTGGGTGCTGTCCTTGAGCTGCTTTTGCTCAAAGCTAGCACTCTACTACTTGAGCCACACCTACACTTCTTGCTTTTTCTAAGTAGTTTATTAAGATAAAAGTCTCAAGGAGGGGCCGGTAAGGTGGCTCAGTGGAAGAGCACTTGCCTTGCATGCATGAGGCCCTGGGTTTGATTCCTCAGCACCACATAAGCAAAAAGAAAAAAGAAGCCGGAAATGGTGCTGTGGCTCAAGTGGTAGAGTGCTAGCCTTGAGCTGAAGACCTGAGGGACAGCACCCAAGCCCAGAGTTCAGGCCCCACGACCGGACCCTCCTCCCCCCCCCAAAAAAAAGTCTCAAGGACTTTCTTGCTGTGACTGGCTTCAAAGTTCAGTCCTCACATCTTAGCCACTTCAGTGGCTAGAATTATAGGTATGAGTCCTCAGCATTCAGCTTCATCCAGAGCTTTTTAGTAATCTACAAGCAAGGAGTCAGTCTTGAGAATTATATTATCGATATAACAAAATAATTTTTTTTTTTATTATTTCAGAGTAAAGATGGGAAAACCCCACTGCATATGACTGCCCTCCACGGTAGATTCTCCAGATCACAAACCATTATCCAGAGTGGTAAAAAGTATTTCTGTTTGTTTTTTTTATTTCTTAAATGTAATAAAAGTCATCCACTGCCGGGCGCTGGTGGCTCACGCATGTAATCCTAGCTACTCAGGAGGCTTAGATCTGAGGATCGTGGTTCAAAGCCAGCCCGGGCAGGAGAAACCGTGAGACTCCTATCTCCAATAAACCACCAGAAAACGGAAGTGGCACTGTAGCTCAAGTGGTAGAGCGCTTGCCTTGAGCTGAAGAGCTGAGGGACAGCGCCCAGGCCCAGAGTTCAAGCCCCACGGCCGACCAAAAATAAAATAAAATAAAATAAAAAAATAAAAATCATCCACAAAATGAGTGATATTGAGAATTGCCATGGCTATCTGTATGACTTCAGAGCTCTTGAAAATCAACAATGAGAGTATAAAATGCCATGTACAATTCATCCCCTTCCCCCCCTCCCCCTATTTTTATGAATCTCATATTTTCTGGGTTATTGAGGTACTATGTAGCTTAGACTAACCATGAAGTTTTTTATTATTATTATTACTGGGTTTTGAACTCAGAGCTTAGCACTTGCTAGGCAGGTATTCTGTGATGGGGAGCTACTTCCAGCCCCCCCTTTTTTTAAAAAATGTTTTATTGTTGTTATAAAGGTGTTGTACCAGAGGGGTTATATTCACATAAGTTGGATAATTAATGAGTACATTTCTTTTTGGAAATGTTGCTTTCCCAGTTTTTCCCTCCCATCCCCACACACAAGTTGTATAGTTCATTTTCGACGTGTGTCTGATAAGGATCACTGCTGCATTTGTTCACTCTTTGTCCCTCCATTTCTGTGCCCCCCTTATTCTCCCGAAGACAGATTAAACAAGACAAAAAGAAAACAGAAAAAAATATTATTTTATATGATCAGAGGCACTTAGGCATTGTACATTTCTGTTCCTCCCCTAAGAGGAGGTCTTACTTTGGTCTCACTGTGTGTGACTGCCTAGAGTCCTAGATAATTTATCATGTCCCAGGTATTTTAGACGTAGCTTCTGCATGTAAGAGAAAACATGCACTGTTTGTCTCTCTGAGCTTGGCTTACCTCACTTAACATGGTTTATTCTAAGTCCTTCCACTTCCCTGCAAATGACAACATTATTCTTTTTCGTGGCTGTGTAATATTTCTTCAGCTTCTTTCCTTAGTGATTTTTCAGATAAGAACTCATGCTTTTGCCTGGAAATGGGATATACCTCCATACCCAGCTTATTGGTTGACATCTCACTAAATTTTTATTGGCAAGACTGGCCTCAAACTATGATCCTCCTGATCTCAAAAGTAGCTGGGGTTACAGACATATGCCACCCAGCCCTTTAAAACTCTTGTTCCTCTGCTTCTGCTTCCTATATATTAGGTTATAGACAGGTGCCACCACACAATAAGTTTTATTTATTTAATAGTAAGTTATGCCTTTTTTTCCCCCTAATATTGCTAACTAGAAATTCTTTACTGTATGTTTTATTTTATTTATTTATTTATTTTGGTCGGTCGTGGGGCTTGAACTTAGCCTAGGCACTATCCCTCAGCTCTTCAAGCTCAAGGTGAGCGCTCTCCCTCTTGAGCCACAGCACCACTTCCAGTTTTCTGGTAGTTTATTGGAGATAAGAGTCTTACGAACTTTCCTCCCCAGGCTGGCTTTGAACTGTGATCCTCAGATCTCAGCCTCCTGAATAGCTAGGATTATAGGCATGAGCCGCCACCACCTGGCTTGTTTTACATATTTATATGTACTGTTGGATTTATTTTTTCCTTTTATGAATTTCCCTTTTTGAAGTACTCTTAGTTTATTTTCTGTTTTTGTTTTTTGTGCTGGCTTGAACTCAGTGCTGTGGTGTTACCCTGAATCTTTTTTGCTCAAGGTTATTACTCTACCTCTTAAGCCACAGCTTCATTTCCTTTTTGTGTTCCTATTAGTACATATGAGGAAAGCCAAGTTTCAAAATAGAAAAAAAAAATTACACTAATCTTTAAACCTGTATTTCTCAAACCATGTCCTAGGGAACTGTTTAGTAACTTCTAAGTATAATAGTTGCTCTAGGTTTGGGTAGGGGGCAGTAGGAGGTACTATAGCAGGTAGTAAGAAAAAAAAAACATATAGGACTAAGTGACTCTTTTTTCTTGTGCTGATCCTGGGGCTTGAAGTCAGGTTCTGGGCACTGTCCCTGAAATTTTTGCATTTTGCTTTTTTTGCTTATAGCTAATGCTCTACCACTTGAGCCACAACCCTACTTTTGTATTTTTGGGTGGTTAACCAGTGATAATAGTTTCACAGCCTGTCCGGCCCAGGCTGGCTTTGAACCACCATCTCAGTTCTCAGTATCCTGAGTAGCTAGGATTACAGGCATGAGCCACAGCACTTGGCCAATGAAATGATTTTTAAAGCCAGTGTGCCCACACATTAAAGATCTGAAATATTTGCTCTAAAGAAATGTGTTTAGGGGCTGGGAAGGTGGCTCAGTGGTAGAGCGCTTGCCTTACATGCATGAGTCCCTGGGTTCTATTCCTCAGCACTACATACGCAAAGAGAAAGCCAGAAGTGGCGCTGTGGCTCAAGTGGTAGAGCGCTAGCCTTGAGCTGAAGAGCTGAGGGACAGTGCCCAGGCCCAGAGTTCAGGCCCCACGACCGGACCCAAAAAAAAAAAATGTGTTTAATGTTAACACATTGGTTACTGAACTTACTAGACCCAGAACCCCTTTGGCAATTTTATATGTTCTTAAATTTAGGCTTACTTCACAAAACTGTTAAGCATAAAATCTGACCCCAAGAACCTGGCCCAAGCAATACAATATGTGCATATTTTATTCTTGAACAGCATTTTTTCATTGCATTTAAAAATTTGACTTGTTCTTTCTTCATCTAGTCTAACACTGTGTTGTTAACTGCAGGAGCTATAATAGACTGTGAGGACAAGAATGGAAACACCCCTTTGCACATAGCAGCAAGGTATGGCCATGAGCTGCTAATCAACACTCTCATTACGAGTGGTGCTGACACTGCAAAGTAAGTACTTCATAAGTGTTAATAGCTATCACAGAAAGCTCAGGACACTGAGCAACAGGATCTAGATAGATCAGATGGAAATGGAAGTTTTATTTTCAACATTTTAGCATTTAAGCTTTTTTCTTTTTGTATTCAGAATTTGGTTGATTAAAAATGTTTTAAGTAATAATTTTGATTAACCAATTTGTTCAGTTTTTTCATCTCACAACAGTTTTTTCTTTAGCATGAGTAATGCAGTTTTGATCAGAAATTTGGGTTTCTTTTCATCCCTCTGTTTTGATTTAGGTTTTTGGTGATAAAGTATTGAGGTTCAAACTCGGGACTCTAACTTAAGCTACACTTATAGTCCAGTAATGCCTTTATTTTTAATCTAGAAGTACTTCTTGGGCCGGGGGGGGGGGGGGGGGTGCTCCGGTCATGGGGCCTGAACTCTGGGTCTGGGTGCTGTCCCTCAGCCCTTCAGCTCAAGGCTAGCACTCTACCACTTGAGCTACAGTGCCACTTCTGGCTTTTTTCTCTTTGCTTATATGGTACTGAGGAATTGAACCCAGGGCCTCATGTATGCAAGGCAAGCACTCTACCACTGAGCCACCTTCCCAGCCCCTAGACGTACTTTAAAGTCACAAAGTTCTCCACTCCAGATGCTTTTCCTTTACTTTATGTAAAGAATGACTTAAAAATTTCTCTGTAAAATTTTGTTTAGAAAATGAATTCTGCTGCCTATGTTGGACAGAAGAAAGACTGTATTTAAATTGCTGTTTATTACTTCTGTGTACTAAATTTGTACATGTCCATTAACAAATTTTAAGCTCTTTAGACATTCATAAATAGTATGTTAATGTACATACTGTTTTGCAACTTAAAAAATTACATTAACTTAGGGGTTGGGAAGGTAGTTCAGTGGTAGAATACTTGCCTTGCATGCATGAGTCCCTGGGTTCGATTCCTCAGCACCATATAAACAGAAAAAGCCGGAAGTGGACCTGTGGTAGAAAGCTAGCCTTGAGCTGAAGAGCTGAAGGACAGCACCCAGGCCCCATGACCAGAAAAAAAAAAATTACTTTAACCATATAGAAAATGTATTTGGGGCTTTTCAAATCTCTACAAGTAAATATAGTTTGTTTTTCTTATAGAATTTAATTATTTATTTGCACAGTTCATTTATAGGCATAAGTTGCTCCCTCGTTTTTCACCTTTACAGAACTACTATTGTGAACATTCTTGAACATGTTGCCTTATGGGAATGGCTTAAAATAGTGGGCAATATGAAGGTGAAATTAGCTCCCTTAATCAACAGTGCTCCTGAAATAAACAGTGCTCTCTAAATAAACAGATACTCGTTGGGTTGGGGAGGAAGGTGTTGATGATGTATCTAGTAAGTATAACCCAGAGATGCTGCTTAACATCTTACATAGACAATATAGACTTCCCACATGCACATAAAGTCCATAATGACATGGTTGTGATGGGGGGAAAAACCTAAACTTAAAAAATAGCTCAGTAAGCCAGGCACCAGTGGCTCACGCCTGTAATTCTAGCTACTCAGAAGGCTGAGATTTGAGGATCACGGTTCAAAGCCAGTCCAGGCAGGAACAGCCATGAGACTGTTATCTCCAGTTAACCACCAGAAAACCAGAAATGGCACTATGGCTCAAGTGGTAGAGGACTAGCCTTGAACTGAAGAGCTGAGGGACCGCACTCAGGCCCAGAATTCAAGCACTATGATAGACCAAAACAAAAAAAAAAAAAGCTGAGTAAATAAGTCATGCCTACCCACCCTCCAAACTACTCCAGAGCACTACAAAGTTACCTCCTTTAGTAATTTCTCACTTAAGAATTCTCCTTGTAATGAGTTGAAAGGACTGTATTTTTTTGGGTGTTATAATGAAGGTTCTATACTGTCATCTTTAGGCGTGGCATCCATGGAATGTTCCCCCTTCATTTGGCAGCCTTAAGTGGTTTTTCGGATTGCTGCAGGAAACTTCTTTCTTTAGGTAAGTAGAACCTTCACAGACCAGTGTTAGTCAGTCTTTACTCTCTTTGCCAACTACCTTGTTTCTCCCTTTTGCTTTCTTTTCTCCCTTTTCCTTCAGTTATATGAGAATCTGTGTTTTTCAAAATTTTGCAATCTTAAGTATACGTCATATATTTACTCTTCTTAGAAGATAATGAGATCTCTTTGAGTTTTAAGACTTTAATTTTTCATTAGCTCATTTTTCTAATGTCTTTCTCTCCTTTATTGTTTGAGACGTAAAATATGGAATATTTCTAGATCATCATGTATTATTGCATGGTAATTTTGGACTTTGAAACAGAGTATTTTTGTTTATATGTCTTACTGGTCTTGGCCTTCATGTAAGAGTTGAGACCCATTCTGTGGTATTTTCTAAATCTGTAAAACTAAGTATGCAATATCTAATAAGTAGTTTATTTTTATTCTCTTCCCCTTCCCTTTCTAATAAGTAGTTTAAAATGTTGTAATTCCTTTGGTTTGAAATGGAGTTCTATAAATACTACTATGTGATTAGTTACCAAATAAGATTAAATTGATTTTAAATTATATGTATTTCTTCTATATATTCTCAGTTTAAAATGGTTGAATAAATGTTGTGCATTACTGAAAGATCCGTGTGTTTACCCAAGGATTATGAGGAAGTGTCAGTGAAGATTATAAACCCAGGCATGTTTGTATATGCCTAGAATCCCCAGCACTTGAAGGCTAAAGCAAGAGGATCTCGAGTTCAAGATCATCAAGGTTCCAAAGCAGCCTAAGCTACACAGTTGAGACCTTGTCTTGAGGGAAAACAAAAGAATTTTTTAACATTATCAAACAAAAACTTGGGTTTTTCTTAATATTTAAATTACATTTCTTCTTTTTTTTTTTTTTTTTCAGTGCTGGGATTTGAACTCATGGTCTCCTGCTTGCTAGGCAAGTGCTCTACCCCTTGAGCCACAGCCTAAGCCTAGCTCTAATTCTCTTTTTTTTTTAAAGTACATATGTCTTTCTATAAGTATTTACATACTCATTTTCCATGAATAGGAGTACTAAACAGAATGCCTATATTTGTTTTATTTTAAATAAATTATACTATGTAGTATGGGCAAAGTCCTTCTGCCTCTACCTCCTAATTGCTGGAATTACATGCATGTGTCACCAGATTTGGCAGATCAGCTTTATTCATATATAATTCACATTCTGTACAATTCATAGTTAAAATGCATAATTCAGTAGTTTTAATATGTTTGTAAGGGTGCTGTAACCATCATTACAGTCCATTTTAAGTCTTTGTTTCCTGTCAAAGAAATGTGATTCGCAATTAATGAACACTGTCTGTCTCCCCCATCCCTAAGCATCTACTCATCTACTTTCTGTCTATAAACTTGCCTATTCTGAATAGTTCATAGTAATGGAATCATCTAGCATGTAATCTTTTTTTTTTAACTGGCTTTTTTCACTTAGAGTAATGTTTTTGATTCATCTTCATATTAATATTAATATTTCTTTTTGTTGTTGAATAATGATCCATAGTATTGTATAGTCTTTTAGAAGGTGGAAGAGTTTGTTATGAATTTTGCTGTGTTGCCTATGAGCAATCCTTTTGCCATAACCTCCCCAGTAGCTGGGACTATGAGACTAAAGATGTCACCAACCATGTCTATTGTATATAACCTTTTTTTGCGGGGGGCCTTGAACTCTGGATGCTTTCCTTCAGCTCTTCAGCTCAAGGTTGGTGCAATACCACTTGAGCCATAGCACCACTTCTGGTTTTCTAGTGGTTTATTGGTGATAAATAGTCTCATGGACTTTCCTGCCCCTCCTGGCTTTGAATAGGGTTCTCAGATTTCAGCCTCCTGAGTAGGTAGGGTCATAGGCATAAGCCACCAGTGCCTGGCTATATATAACCTTTTAAACAAGCACTGTAGCACTGTTTTAAAGCCACCAATTCATTAGTGGTCTTTTTTTTGTAATATTTTACATTAATATTTTCCTCAGTTTTTTTCAGGCTTAAAAGAATATGATACTTGAAATTTCTTAACCAATGGCAACCAATACATTTATATGATAGATAAGATATTCATTCCCACAGGATTTGATATAGATACCCCAGATGATTTTGGCAGGACCTGTCTACATGCAGCTGCAGCTGGAGGGTATGTTAATAGTATTTTTATTTATTTTAAATGGGGAAGGGACAGAGAACAGCTACAACGCAGCTTGGTTATAGAACATGTGCATATGAGCATCTCTTAAATCCTGAGCTCTATCCCTAACTCCAAAAGATGGATGGCCAGGTTCCAGTGGCTCAGGCCTAGAATCCTAGCTGTCAGGAAGATGAGATCTATGGATCACAGATCGAAGCAAGTTGGGGCAGGAAAGTCCATGAGACTCTTAACTCCGTTTAACCACCAGAAAGTCAGAAGTGGATCTTTGGCCTCAAATGGTAAAGTGCTACCTTTGAGCAGTAAAGCTCAGTGACAGCATTTAGCCCCTGAGTTCAAGCCCCAGGACATCACAAAAAAAAAAAAAAAAAAAAAGGATGGATAGGAACAGAAAGTTAATATAAAAGTTTTATCTCGGGCTGGGAAGGTGGCTCAGTAGTAGAGCGCTTGCCTTGCATGCCTGAGGCCCTGGGTTCAATTCCTTAGCACCACATAAGCAAAAAGAAAAAAAGCCAGAAGTGGCGCTGTGGCTCAAGTGGTAGAGCACTAGCCTTGAGCTGAAGAGCTGAGTGACAGTGCCCAGCCCAGAGTTCAGGCCCCACAACTGGACCCCCCCAAAAAAAAAAGTTTTATCTCTGTTGCTCTTTTTTTAGTCTGGGCCATTATAAAATAGAAAACCAAATATAGTAAGTAATAGCAAAAATGGCTCTGTTTTCATGTTTCATCACGTAAGTTATAGATTATAACTTAGAGAAAAAAGAATGGCCTACAAAAAGAATACTACATTTTGTAAAAAATAATTTCTGGACAAATAAAAAAACTAATAAGGTCAATTTCTAAAGTAAAAAATACATATCCTCAAATAAGAACATTAAAATACTGAAAATGTTCTAAATAGTACTGGTAATAACCTTTTAAAAGTTATTTTAGAATATGTATCTTCTGGGGAAAAGATTGCCTCTACTATTAAGAGGAAATGTTGAAAGGGATTGTTAGACAATCACATGCAGCAGTGCACTGCTGCCATTCCTGGCGAGGGCAAAGTTACTCAGAGAAGAGCCATTTTGAGTGTAATTACCAAGACAGAAGTAAGGATGGTATAGTTTTAGACGGGGCACTAAAAGTTAAAAAAAAGAGATTGTTAGAATGTTAGAAGGTACTTAAGTTTTTTGTATGTTGTTTATGCTTTTTTGACACAAGTTCTTACTATATAGTCAAGGCTAGCCTCAACCTTGAAATTTTCCTGCCTCATCCTCCTGAGTTCTGGGATTACAAGCATACACCACCAGCTGATATTAAGTTTTAAATAGCCCTAAGGAGGGAAACTTAAGCAGTTGGTCTTCCTGAATGATAATAATCCTTGTTGTCTGTGAAAGCATAATACCAATTTAATACTTCTGGTAATTTAATCTGTGACAAACCATTTAATTCATGGTTATCAAAATGACATTTTATGAAAGCTATTACCAATAATTCCTTAAAATTTACCTAACATGAATTATGCAACTTGTGGATAAGGATGGGAGGGAAAAATGGAGTGAGATAGGGTGACATTGTCCAAAAAGAAATGTACTCATGGGGCTGGGAAGGTGGCTCAGTGGTAGAGTGCTTGCCTTGCATGCATGAGGCCCTGGGTTCGATTCTTCAGCACCACATAAGCAAAAAGAAAAAAGCTGGAAGTGGCGCTGTGGCTCAAGTAGTAGAGTGCTAGCCTTGAGCTAAAGAGCTGAGTGACAGCGCCCAGGCCTAGTGTTCAGGCCCCAGGACCGGACCCCCCCCCAAAAAAATAAAAAAATAAATGTACTCATTACCTGACTTATAAAAGTGTAGCCCATCTCTATATCACCTTTATAATAATTTTTAAAATGTATTTAAAAATTCATGATTTCAGAGGATAGGGGTGCCTATGAATAATATCCTGCCAAATTACAGAAGTTGATTGTGAGCATGTGACATTCCCTAATTCCAAGATCACCAAAGAATGTTACATTTCAAACTTAATTTTCCTGAAACTTGCCTACAGAGAGAAATACACAGACTTTGAGTATTTGGCCATTTGGCAGTGATAGTTCAAGCTTATAAAAATTAAATTACAAGAACAGTTGTTTTGTAATGTGGGCTCCTAATCTATCTATATTTATTTGGCACTGGAGTTTTGAGTTCAGGACCTTGAACTTGCTAGGCAGGCATTCTTTCTCTTGAACAATGCCCCTAGCTCTTTTTACTTTTTCAAATGGAGTCTCAAGTTTATGCCCAGGTAGGCCTGGACCATAATTCTCCTATTTACAATTTCCAACTAACTGGAATAACCTGGGCCCACCATCATCATCCCACTTACTGGCTGAAACGTTTTGTCTGGGCTGATCTTGAACCATGATTCTCTCAATCATTGCCTCCCAAGTAACAGATTATAAGTATGATCCACCATTGCCCAGCTTTCCAGCAAGTTTCCAGTAATCATAGTAATCAGAGCAGATAAGGGAAAGCTGTGCTTTCAAGGAGCTTTTGGGTCTTTTATACCCATAGATTTGATACTAAAAAACATGTACTTATAGTCATAATTGTTTCCTACAAATTACTCATAATCTCTTATAAATGTCTTTCTTTAATAGAGGCAGGATTTATTCATTTACAATCATTGTAGTATTATGATCATAACTTTAAGTACTAGATGAGTTTTGATATTTTTTTCTTCATGGAAATAAATACCATTTTATTTACATTTACTCTCATTAACATTTTTTATGTTTATTTAAACCTACCAGTTTTATTATGTTTTCTAACTCTCTTCTTTGCCTAGGAATTTGGAGTGCCTAAACCTCCTGCTCAATACTGGTGCAGACTTCAACAGAAAAGACAAATTTGGGAGGTAGGTTATGATACAGTTCCTCTATTGAGTCTAACTGTTTTTACTTAATGATTTGATTGACCTTCCAATTGACATCTGAAAATTAACTGAACAATTTAGCATCTTTTAAAATGTGGTCATGATTCACTAAAAGTCCCATGCCAAATGCGTGGCTCAACTGGCAGAGGGCCTGTCATGAGCAAGTAAGCTGAGCAAAAGTGCCAGGCCCCTGAAGTCAGTCCTTGGTATTGGGACAGAGAGGAAAAGAAGCACAAATCATTGAGAGTCCCAGGTAAGACTGGAGATGTTGCTCAGTAGTAGAGTATTTGCTTCACACAAAGCTCTGGCATCAGTCTCCCAGCTTTATTATAAGTATCTCTATGCTTCATATTTTTCTCCTCACATCATCATGGCCTCGATACCTGTGTGCTTTTCAGATTGGTATAGTAAGCTGGCTACTCAGGAGGTTGAGATCTGAGGATTGAGGTTCAAAAGCCAGCCCAGGCAGAAAAGTCTGAGACAGTCTTATCTCCACTTAACCAGCAAAAAACTTCAGTGGTAGACCACCAGTTGTGAGTAAAAGCTGAATGAGAGCATGAGGCCCTAGTTCAAGGCCTTGTACCAGCACACTCGCACACATATGTACAGAAAGCGGGTAGGAAGAAACAAACATCCACAGAAACATGGTTTCACTCAAGTCATTCTTTGGGTGAAAATTCTCACAATTTGGTTTTACTTAGATATATACACTATTCATTTTATGTCCCAATGTTAAAGAGGGAGGATATAGATTATAACAATATCTTCGGTTTTTACTTTTTTTCCTCTATATATCTGACATATATACCATTGAGTATAGTATATAAGAAAACAGCTATGAAATGACAGGATCTCTATAATTAGTATTATCTTTAACTGTTCAGCACCAGTTGTCTCGTGGCAGCATTTGAAACTACTTATTATCTATTCCCTGCTTATACAGATTACATTAGAACCATTCAGGAAAGAATTAAAAGCAGTTTGAATGTTTTTGAAAGAGGGAGATGAGGAGATAAGTAAAATTGTCATTAATGAAAATTACATGTATCAAAATGTGTGACAGGAATGGTATATAACAGAAGGAAATACGTAAATGTATATTAGTACATTTGGGCCAGTGTAGGAGAGAGGTGAAAAATGGTAGGAAATTAGAAATGAGTTGAACAACTATTTGATCCTATATACTTTGAAGAATAGAGTCAGCTCATAAGTTACTAGTGAAAGTAACCAATAAGTCACAAAATAAAAAATCACTGATTGGCTTTTACAGTTTCTTCCAGAAATTTAATGGGATTTTATTATTTGTTCTTAATCTTTATATAAAAATGTTGAAATTTAACATGTCTGTTTGTGGGTAGATGCATCTTGATCAGTCTTACCATCTAGCATGGCCCAAGTTAAGGATAAATTAGTTGCTTTGTTTATACTTACTGGAACTTGAACTCAGGGCTTTGTGTTCTTGGCTTTTGTTCAAGGCTTGTGGTATGCCACTTGAACCAGTCCTTCCCTTCTAGCTTTTTGCTAGAAGGCTAATTAGAGATAGAAGTCTCACAGACTTTTTTGCCTGGACTGGCTTTGAACCTCAATTTTAAGATCTCAGCCTCTGCGTAGCGAGGACTACAGACGTGAGCCACCAATGCCCTACTTAGTTTTTATAATTATATCGGGTTTAATTTGTATCAAAGCATTCTATACCTTCTGTAGCATATTCTAAGTTTAGTAGCTTTAAAGGGATGCAAAGTTAACTGAACTTTTGGGAAAAAATTCTATATTATCCAATAATGCAAAAATGTTCCATCATTTTATTAGGCTTAAATGTCTTAGAAAAGTTACACTGTGAAGCACTCTAGACTGAATTTATCATCATTTTTTGTTTGTTTTTACATTGAAGTAATAGAATCATCATGGATACATAATCCCAAAGTAGTTACTCCTAAATTTAATAACATCCTGTTATTAAATAACATTCTGTTATTTCACTAACCTGGAGGAAACGACAAATGCCTAGTTTTTAGAAATTAAAACAGTACTCTAGCTTTTCAGAATACTGAATAGTCTTTTTAATACTATGCCTTTATTGGTTGCAAATTTTTATATGATTATTCACATCTATTGTGCGGCCAATATAACTGAACATTCTTTTTATTCTGGAGTGGAGGGTAGAGACAGTGTCTTCCAAATACTAGGGTTACAGGCATGTATCACCACACCCAGCTCCCATTCTTTTAAAATTCTTTTTTAACTTCCTCTTACACTTTATTTTTCTATTAAGATAGGAACAAGAAGTTGCTCTGTTCTGTGGGAAGCTTTGTCAAAATGAAAGTTTTCATCTTTCTGAGCAGAATGTAACATGGTTTATAATTCTCTCAAGGGACTAGATTGCAACTGTTTGGGGACTAGTAAATAATTTAAAACTGTTTCTCCTTTATTTCTTAAACTTAAATGCTCCAAAAGGTTCTTTAAACAGCTGTTATTCTCCCAGCTTTGTGTCCAGCCTTCCAAAAGACTTTGGTAGATGATAAAAGTAAATGTAAGGCTTATTGTAAATAGTGTTTGAAAATTGATAGAATATGAGTCAGCTGTACTCTTGTTTATTAGTGTATGAATTGGCTTCTTTCTTCTATTAACTTTGGTACAAAAGATCACCACTGCACTATGCTGCTGCCAACTGCAATTACCAGTGCCTGTTTGCTCTTGTGGGATCAGGAGCAAGTGTAAATGACCTTGATGAAAGAGGCTGCACACCCCTGCACTATGCAGCTACATCAGACACAGATGGCAAGTAAGTACCACATAGGTGAGAACAAATAATTACTTCTATAAACTGGCATTTTCCATGTCAATGACTGCTTTTATTGCACATCTATGTTTTCTTTTACATGTTTATCACTATGTTTCCCTGTGTCTTTAGTAGATTGCCATGTGTAGCAAATGACTTCGAACCATTTATTACTATAAACCTGACAGTAGTCGCTGTAGATCATACTTTCCTGCTTTAGAAAGCCAACATGAACTTATTTTGCTTTCCTTAAATAAATCTTTTCTTCCATACTCATGTATCAGGGAGTCATCTTAAAATAGTTTGTTCCTCTGGGAGAATTTGCTTTACTCAGGTATCAGTAAGGGAGAACCATTTCTGCTGTATAAAAGATTTTTTTAACTGCCTATGAGTGAAATGTTTGTGCCTGTAAAGCTCCTGCTCTAAAGACTTGTTTTTTCTACATTTCAATGAGTACTAACCTGAACTGGGCACCTGTGAAGTCTTAAGAACAAACAGCTTACATGTTGTCTGAAACATTACTCTTGAGAAAATACTAGCCTTTGTGTTTGAGCCATATAAGGTTTGGGGGTTTTAAATATTATAATGATACCCACTTTTAATTATGATACCCTATTAACATGCTTGACTTGAACATTTTATTTAGCTCTGCCTAAGTAGCAAAATCCATCAAAGGTATGAATAATTGCTACCTTTGGGGGGGACTATAATAAAAAGTACTTCATTAAGTGATTTTTAAAGGGTTTTATCCCTTAGGGTAATAAAGGTTAGCATTGGGTACAATGGCATGTGTCTACCAACATATTATAGAGCTACCATATATGATAGAGCTTTTGCAATATGCATTGCTTTAGACTTCTTTTTAATTTATTTTTATATAATGACAGTGTAATTTTGGAAATTTAGATTTTTTTTTTTGTAATTAATAAAATTTGTCGGTGGCTCTTGCCTATACTAGCTACCAGGAAGCTGAGATCTGAGGATCAGGTTTGAAGCCAGCCCCAACAAGAAAGTCCTTGAAACTTTTCTTCAGTTAACCAACAAAAAGCCAGAAGTAGAGTTGTGGCCCAAATGGCACAGCACTAGCCTTAGCAAAAAAAAGCTAAGGGATAGTACTCAAGACCTAAGTTTAAGCCCCAGTACTGGTATACACACTAACTTTGGATTCTTTTTTTTTTTTTGTCGATTTGGGGCTTGAACTCTGGGCCTGAGCACTGTCCCTCAGCTCTTCAGCTCAAGGCAAGTACTGCAAGCACTCTACCGCTTGAGCTACAGTGCCACTTCCAGTTTTCTAGTTGTTTGTTGGAGATAACAGTCTCATGGATGTTCCTGCCTGGGCTGGCTTTGAACGGTGATCCTCAAATCTCAGCCTCCTGAGTAGCTAGGATTACAGGTGTGAGTCACTGGCAACTGGCTTAACTTTGGATTCTTAAAGAGGAATATTTTATATAATCATTTTTGCCCTTGGCATAATTAACATTGGTGATTGGTAGTGGTGGTAATGGGAGGGGTATATTGGCATACTAGACAAATTATCACTGAATAATTACAGACTTGTAATTTAAACATGACTGGACTTCAGATTATTGAGATGGCTTCTCTATCCCTTGAATAGAGAGATTATTTCACTGTAAAAGTGAAATTATTTGTCCAAAATCACTGATGCCAAATTGGCTTTAGAGGCAGATATTTGCATTTCAAATTCACTGCCTTTGTCTTTGCTATAGTAACAGTATTTATATAATAGATTAAAAATTATTTTTCACATATTTTAATAGTGTGGAAATTAAATGAAGTATCTCCTATGTGAAAGGATTTCTTTTGACTTCCATATGCTTTTACTGTCTGTCCACCTCTGTCTCCCAATTTAATACCATTGAATTCTGACCTTGGTTTCTTGGAGCAGGCATGACAGCCTTTCTTGAGCTTTCACATGAGAAATTGTACCCTATGTTCTACTAGATAATCAGTAATATCTCCAACATTGTATGTTTACCATCACTAAGGTTTATCCTATCACATATTGCTTTGTAGATTGACTGGTACCAGGACAGTGTCTATTTGAAAAAAAAGAACCTTTAGGTATATTAAACCTAGTATCAAACTTTGGAGTTACCTAGTTTCAATAAAGAAGATTTCTCTTAACATTTCATTATTTTCTGGTATTCAGTTTCAATTGATTTTTATTTTGTTTTGTTTTTCACTTGTGGGGTGTGAACTCAGGACTTGGGAACTGTCCTTGAGCTTTTTTTTGCTCAAGGCTAATACTCTACCATTTTAAGCCCAAGACCTACTTCTGGTTTTCTGGTGGTTAATTGGAGATAAGAGTCTCATGGACTTTCCTGCTTTGGCTAGCTTTGAACCTTGATTCTCAGATCTCAGCCTTTTGAGTAGGATTACCAGCATGAGCCCTCAATGCCCCAGTTTGTTTTGTTTCTTTGGTACTGGTCCTAAGTCTTGAACTCAGGACCTGGGTGCTGTCCTTGAGCTTTTGTGCTCAAGGCTAGTGCTCTTGATCCACAGCTCTACTTCCAGTATTTTTCGTAGTTAATTTGAGATGAGAGTCTCAGACTTTTTCCCCAGGCTGGCTTTTCATAGTTTGTCTCTGTTTTTATCAATGGTAAAAAAAATGTAGGATTCTGAATTCTCAGTATATTATTACTGTATATAGGTGCCTGGAATACTTACTAAGAAATGATGCAAATCCAGGGATCCGGGACAAGCAAGGATACAATGCAGTTCATTACTCAGCTGCTTATGGTCACCGTCTATGTCTTCAGCTGGTAAGATTTCTAAATTCTTAGGAAAGAACTAATGTAAGGGCTGGGAAGATGGCTCAGTGGTAGAGAGCTTGCCTTGCGTGCCTGAGGCCCTGGGTTCAATTCCTCAGCACCACATAAGCAAAAAGAAAAAAGCCGGAAGTGGCTCTGTGGCTCAAGTGGTAGAGCACTAGCCTTGAGCTGAAGAGCTGAGGGACAGCGCCCAGGCCCAGAGTTCAGGCCCACGACCGGACCCAAAAAAAAAAAAAAAAAGAACTAATGTGAGTTTATAGTTTAGTAATATGATAAAGGCACTTAGAGTTCAAACCCCACTACATAAAAAAGAAAAAGAAAAAAACAAATTCTGTTTTGTATTTTAACATCTTCAGTCTCCTTATACTTCTTAAATTCATTACTTTAGTACGATAGTATTTGTTCCTTTGGAGAAAGGAAAAAACTAAATCTCTGAGCTCAGCATGGTGGTACACACTTGGGATGATGAGTTCAGTACAGCCTAGACTAAGGTCCTATCTTAAAAAAAATCTCTAAAGATAGCCGGGGAGGGGGGGACTGCGCTGGTGGCTCACCCCTGTAATTCTAGTACTCAGGAGACTGAGATCTGAGGATCGAAATTCAAAGCCAGTCCGGGCAGGAAAGTCCAAGAGACTCTTATCTCCAATAAACCACTCGAAAAGTGGTGCTGTGGCTCAAGGGGTAGAGCTCTTGCCTTGAGCTGAAGAGCGCAGGGACAGCGCCCAAGTCCAGAGTTCAAGCCCCATCTATAGATGCCAGGCTCACGCTGAAATCTGAGGATCACAAAGCCAGCCTGGGCAGGAAAGTCTATGAAACTCTTATCTCCAATAAGCCACTCAGAAAACGGGAAGTGGTGCTGTGGCTCAAGTAGTGGAGAGCTGAGGGACAGCACCCAGGCCCAAAGTTCAAGCCCCATGACTGACCAAAAAAAAAAAAAAGAAGAGGAGGAAGTCATTTTGGCACTTAAAGTTCTTGCTACTAAAGAAGATGATTTGAGCTAGAAGCTTGGGCAATAATAGTGAAACTCCTGTTTAAAAAATAACAAAAACCAAAAATAAATAAATCTCTGAAAAAAGGGCTATATATTACATCCTTATTCTACATTGTCCTACATCTGGGTCTGTAAAATTTACTTTTACTGCCCCTTTTACTGAATCTTTTCCATAAATTTCTGAAAACTTTTCATATATCTTACATGAGAAATAAAAGCTCCTGTGAAAGGCAGATTGCTCCTGTATACTTAGGATATCCTGAAAAGTCTTTTAATGGAGAATCTACTTCTGCAAAGGAAGTTTTATTTCAACTGTGGTGTCATCCTGATATATACATATTATTCAATCCACTTTGCCAAACCAGAAAGAAAATAAGAGATATGTTAAAATATACTCCTTTGGAGCAGGTACCTCAGTTTTTTAAAGATTTCTTTATATAGGCATGGTACAAATTTCACTTTATTTCCTTTCAAGGTGAAATAAAATTCCAGGAAAGTGGATATAAAAGAAAAAGTTAACATTTACTACAACATTTACAAGTTGCTACAAAATATTGCTCATATTTTCTTAGGATATTTTGGGTCTTTAGCTTAAAATCTTAGACCTATGTATATAGATTTGTGGTCTGTTACTTTGTATAATTGCTTCTGAAGCCTTAGTTTTTTCTGAGGCAATAGAAATGCATATTCAGAATAAAAATTAGGAAAAAGACTTAATACTTACTAAACTATTTTTGTTTTTAATCTTTCAGATTGCAAGTGAAACTCCTTTAGATGTTGTAAGTATTAGTCAATTTGCCTATAATGTTATATCTTCCTTGTTCTCCTTGAAACTGAAGCTTTGGATATTTCCCACTTATCTTGAAGAGCAAAGATGATGACAGAAATTTTGTAGGGAGAAGTTTACATGGTCATAACTGTGCTGTCATTCTGTGTTCCTTGGCACATGCATCTTTGAGATGATCCTGTTCTGGAAGGTTGTTGAGTTATCTACCTGGTATACCTTGAAATGACTTGAAGAAAGAAAAGAGAGGAATAACCATTATGGTATCTACATGTACAGATCATTTCTTATATTTAAAATACCTCTTCTTTTTCAGTTAATGGAAACCTCGGGGACAGACATGTTGAATGATTCAGATAATAGAGCAACAGTAAGCCCTTTACACCTAGCTGTGAGTACTGCCTTCATAGCCATATTGGTGGCTGATTTGCTGAAAATATCAAGTTTCTGTTCTATCCCTGAACTTTTGGTCTGTGTAATTAAAATTTTAAGAATTTCTAAAATCCAGAGGCCTCTTTAGTGCCCTGTTCTTTTGTTTTCTTTTTTTATTTTATGTGCTGTTACTGAGGCTTGAACTCAGCCTGGGCACTGAGCTCTTATACTCATGGGGCTTTACCATTTGAACTCACTTCTGGCTTTTGGTGATTAATTAGAGGTAAGATCTCACAGACTTTTCTGCCTAGGCTACTGGCCTAGAACCTCAGATCTCAGCCTCCTGAGAGGCATGAGCCACCATCACCTGGCTTTGGATGTTATTTTTTCAAGTGTATGGCCATGGCTTCTTCCAAGGCCTACTTAAAGAAGAGACTATATCTCTCATCAGACTTAAAATATACTGTCCAGGTTGAAAGACTGTAAGTTCTATGAGGTATAATTGTTAAGCACACAATTTCTATGCTATCTCTTCAGTTTTTTGCTTGGTGATACAGAGTGCTATGTGTGTTTATGCTACTTCAGTTTATGTTTTTGTTGTTGTTGTTATTGTTGTTTTTTAAGTTGGTCGTAGGGCTTGAACTCAGGGCCTGGGCACTGTCCCTCAGCTTTTTCTCTCAAGGATAACATTCTCTCATTTTGAGCCACAGTGCCACTTACGGTTTTCTGGTAGTTAATTGGAGATAAGAGTCTCATGGACTTTTCTGCCCAGGTTGGCTTTGAACCATGATCCTCAAATCTCAGCCTCCTGAACTAGGATTACAGGTGTAAGCCACCAGCACCCAGCTTTTGCTAAGAATTTCAACTGCATGATAGTAACATTCCTTCCTCTTTAAGATTTCTCTGAATTTTTCTTCTAAGAGAAGATTGTAGAGAGAGTATGATAATTCTTTAAATCAATATGGTAATAAATTACCTCATAAAATTTTATATAGAACACGGTCTAACTTTTTCTACAGAGGAAGAATTTATTTTTAAACAAAGCATGTTGAATGGGGCAACTTAAAAGAAATCATGGGGGCTGGGAAGGTGGCTCAGTGGTAGAGCACTTGCCTTGCATGCATGAAGCCCTGGGTTCGATTCCTGAGCACCACATAAGCAGGGGGAAAAAGCTGGAAGTGGTGCTATGGCTCAAGTGGTAGCGTGCTACTCTTGAGCTGAAGAGCTAAGGGACAGCGCCCAGGCCCAGAGTTCAGGCCCCACAACCGGACTCAAAAAAAAAAAAAAAAAAAAATGAAAATACTGATGCTGTGAGACTTCTGTTAATAACTATAGTAAAATATAGGATGTATAACTTAATGAGGATTACTAGAAATTCAGTTCTTTTAATATTTTTCTTGCATATACTCAACTGGATCTGTTCTTTCTTTCCCTTGCTTCCCATAATAATGTCTTTCATGGTCTAAATAACTACAAAGGCATGGTTAAACATTGTGCTTCTGTGCTCTTTGAATCCATGGAAACATTTTCGCCCTCTAAAAGTCTTGAATAAAGTAAATAAGAAGTCTGAAAATCCAGTATGAAGAAATAGCTATTTTGGTATTAGCAGCAAGAAATGAACTCTGAGCATATGGCAAGGCAATCCTTGTATCATCATCTTCATTCTCAAAATATAACAGCACTGTCATTTCCTGAACATTTACTAGTGCCAGCCTCTTTCCCTGTAGACAGATCAGAAGCATATTAAGAGTTCTCCAAACAGTCATTCTGTTACATTCTCTACAGACTTACATTTCTAACCTAATAGTGTTTCTTTAGAAATTTCATGTTCTTGTGAACTCTCTGACCCTCTACTTGGCAAATTTCCTCTTCTCTTTGCCACTTCTCCTTGTGGGATATTATCTTGTTATACAACCCAGGCTGACTTTGAACTCTTAGCCCTCCTGTCTCCCCAGTACTAGAATTACAAGTATGTGCCACCACACTGGGCCTGCAAGTTTCTCTTTTTGTGTTTACAGGTTAATAATATGTTCTTTGTTATATTGTAGGTGATCTTTAGTTCTATTCCCTCTTGCCCTTTCCTTTTTAAAATCATAGCTACTCAGAGGGCTAAGATCTGTGGTCTCAGTTTGGAGCAAGCCCAGGCAGACAAATCCAAGAGACTGGTTATCTCCAGTTAGCCAACAAAATGTCAGAAGTAGAGACATGGCCCAAGTGGTAGAGCACCAGCTATGAGTGGTGGGGAAAAACATGAGCAAAAGGTGCTGAATTTAAGCCCCAGTATCAACACACACACACACATACACACACACACACACACACACACAGTTGTCCCAAGGTATATTGTATGACACACACACACACACACACACAGTTGTCCCAAGGTATATTGTATGTAGTGGTTTAAAAAAAAAAAAAAAGCAAAGCTTGGTGTTAAGTGGCTCACCACTGTAATCCTAGCTACTCAGAAGGCTGATGTCTGGCATATAGTACAATGTAAATAATACATGTTCTATTGACATTCTATATAAAGATGGGGCTTTATTCACTTCTGACAGATCATATAGTCTTATCTATAGTCATATAGCTAGGAAATGCAACACATGGTATCTGTTGAAGCAGACCCCAGGTAAGTATTTTAGGTAAAGGAAATGTTTATTTTTATTGTACTTATTTCTTATTTATTATACTGCTACTAGGGCTAAAATTCAAGGCCTGAATGATGTCCCTTACTTAGCATTTTTGCACAAGGCTAGCTTTTTTGTTCAAGGTTGATAGTAGTGCTATGCTATTTCTGGCTTTATTGCTGATTGATTGAAGATAGGGATTTGAACTGTGATCCTTAGATCTTAGACTCCTGAGTAGCTAGGATTACAGATGCGAGCCACTGGCTGACATGTTTATTCTTAAGTTCTGGTATATTAAAATACTCAACCACACGAAGAGACAAACGGTACATGGTCTCCCTCATAAGTGGATGCTAAATCCAAAAGGTTAGGTGATACGACAAAACTAACAGGACTTAAGAAACAAAGAACTCCCGCTCATCTGGTTGAACCACTACTAAATATCCTCATGCTGCTGATCACAAATATGGTATATAACATGTGAACACTGTTATATATTACAGACTGTGGTAGACAATTTGCTCCAGGGAAGTTAGAATGAACTTGTGACTTTGAAATTATGTAATCATTTAATCACAATCAAAAAAAAAAAAAAAAAAAAAAAAAAGAACCTCGGGGAAGGGAGGGAGGGGGAGGGGATGGTAGGGGGAAAACAATGGAGGGGGTAACAATGTTCAAGAGGAAGTGTACTCATAACCTCACTCATGTAACTGTAACCCTCTGTATAGTAGCTTTACAATAAAAAAAAAATAAAATAAAATAAAATAAAATACTCAACCACCAACTCAAGTTACATAGCTATCCCTATGATTAAAGTGTAATAGAATTCTGTCAATTAATATTGAGCACCAAACTGTGATAAAGAACACAGGCTTTGTAATCAAAGACTCAAAATCAGATTTTAGTGAATACATGTCACATGCATTCAATGTTCATTGTGAACTGGCATCACCTGTTATGGTAGCCTTTCCCTAATATGGTAGCCTGCTATATTTATTAGAAAAAATAAAGTTCTGTATTCTGCTGTAGAAGTTTGTATTATATGAAACATTATGATGATGTGAGGATAATTGATGAGCTGGAAGTATAAATCTATGTTAAAGTACTTGCCTAGTATGCAAAAGCCCTAGGTTCAAGCCCCATCACCATAAATAGGGGGTGGCAATGGGAAAGGAAGGAAAAAGAAGAGGACAGAGAAGGAAGAAAATAAAGGAAGACAAGAAAGAAATAAAAGTGAGTATTTTGGAAGTCAGTATAATAAATGTGTATTTTTAAATTTATATATATTTTTTACTTCTAGGCCTATCATGGTCACCATCAAGCACTGGAAGTGTTGGTACAGTCTTTGTTAGATCTGGATGTGAGAAACAGTAGTGGAAGAACACCTTTAGATCTTGCAGCATTTAAGGGCCATGTTGAATGTGTGGATGTACTCATTAATCAGGGAGCTTCGATCTTAGTAAAAGATTACATTTTGAAGAGAACACCTATCCATGCAGCAGGTATGCCAAATATTACTTGCTACTTGCCATTGAATTTCCTTTTTAAATTTCTGGTATATAATACTGCTGGTGATTACCTTTTTTTTTTTTTTTTTTTTTTTTTTTAGTTTTAAGTTATCAGATGGATATATTCTCATAGGGAAAACCAACAGCAAGAGATAATCACTTTTTAAAATTGATTTATGTCCTAAGTATTTACATTATCATGAATTCAGACAGTATTGTTTTTGGTGGTTTTTTTATGTTGGTACTTGTGCTTGAACAGGGCCTGAGCACTGTTTCTTAGCTCTGTCACTCAAGGCGAGTGTTCTGCCACTTGAGCCATACCTCTAGTTTTGGCTTTTTGCTGGTTATTTGGAGAAAAAAATCCCACATACTTTCCTGCCCTGGCTGGCTTCAAACTGCTCCTCAGATTTCAGCCTTCTGAGTAGCCCTTTTTTAAATGGAAGTTACTTTTGCTTGGTATGTACTTTCATTTAACAATTGATCATTTTCACTCATGAAGTATTAGGTTATACAAAATGTGTAGAGTACCTACTTTATGTGTGAGAACTACTACATGTTGTGATTATTTGATGTCACAATTATATGAAAAATGAAAAGATCTTTAACAAAAAGTTATTGAAATGACTTGCTACCAACTCTTGTCATTAGGACATGCAGGTTGCATAACTCTACAGGAATGACAACTACAAGTTAGTATTCTTTCTTTTATCTTTATTCTTTATTTGGTGCCAGCCTAATACTTTTAACTCAGAGCCTGAGTGCTATCCCTGAGCTTCTTTTGCTCAAAGCTATTAGTCTACCACTTTAGCCACAACTCCACTCCTGGTTTTTTTTTTGGGGGGGGGGGGTGTTTTTTGTTTTTTTTTGTTTTGTTTTGTTTTGTTTTTTGTTTATTTTGGTTGGTTGTGGGGCTTGAACTCTGGGCTTGGGCACTCACTGTCTGTGTGTTCTTTAGCTCAAGGCAAGCGCTCTACTGCTGGAGCCACAGTACCACTTCTGGTCTTCTAGTGGTTTAATGGAGATGAGTCTCATGGACTTTCCTGCCCAGGCTGGCTTTGAACCATGATCCTCAGATCTCAGCCTCCTGAGTAGCTAGGATTACAAGCATGAGCCACAGAGCCCGGCTTCTCCTGGTTTTTTGTTTGTTTTTTTAGTAGTTTATTAGAGATAAGAGTGCCACCAACTTTCTGCTCCTGCTGGCTTTGAACCTTAATCCTCAGATCTCCGCCTCCTAAGTAATTAGGATTACATGAATCAGCCACCAATTTATGGCAGCAGTGTTCATTTTAAATAACCAAGACTAGTACTCTTAGCCAAGTGTTTTTCTTAGTCTCATTTGACTATTTATATTCATGTCATTAGTCTGTTTATAGACTAATCCTTTTTTAAGATTGTTTTTATATTTTGCTATTGTTATAAAGATGATGAACAGAAGGGTAATAGTTACATAAGGTAAAGAATACATTTCTTTTTGGACACCCCTTCCCTTGCCCTCTCTGTTTTCCCTCCCATCCCACTATAGACTAATTCTTTTTTCTTTTTTTTTTTTTTTAAGACTAATTCTTAAGAATGCATTTTAGAACTGGGTGCCAGTGACTCACATCTGTAATCCTAGCTATTCAGGAGGCTGAGATCTGAAGATTGCAGTTCAAAGCCAACCAGGGCAGGAAAGTCCATGAGACCCTTATCTCCAACTAACCACCAGAAAGCTGGAAGTGGCACTGTGGCTCAAGTGGTAGAGCACTACCCTTAAGCTGAAGAGCTTAGGGACAACATCCAGGCCCATAGTATAAGCCCCACCACTGACCCAAAAAATAGGAATGGGGGCTACAACTAAATACAAGCCTTGATTCTATGCTCCCTGCCAAGGAGTCATCTCACTGCATGTATGTTATAGAGAAAACTACCAAGGATTTTTTTCTGGAAGCTAATCGTTCTTTCCCCACAGTTCGATATTTTGTATAGTACCTGACACATGAAATGTGTATGAATAATTGGTTAAAAAATGAATCCTGAGGGCTGGGAAGGTGGCTTAGTGGTAGAGCACTTGCCTTGCATGCATAAGGCCCTGGGTTCGATTCCTCAGCACCACATAAGCCGGGAAAAAAAAGCCAGAAGTGGCACTGTGCCTCAAGTGGTAGAGCATTATCCTTGAGCTGAAGAGCTGAGGGACAGTGCCCAGGCCCAGAGTTCAGGCCCTGTACCGGACCCAAAAAAAAAAATAAATAAATGAATCCTGAGCTGGGCGCCAGTGGCTCACACCTGTAGTCCTAGCTAGTCAAGAGGCTGAGATCTGAAGATTGCACTTCAAAGCCAGCCTGGGCAGGAAAGTCCATGAGACTTTTTTCTCCAGTTAACTACCAGAAAACCAGAAGTGGCAAAATGCCACTTGAGCTGAAGCGCTCAGAGACAGCACCCAGACCCAGAGTTCAATGCCCACAACTAACAAAAAATGCCTGTAATACTTGCTACTCAGAAGACTGAGATCTAAGGATTGTAGTTCAAAGCCAGCTAGGCAGGAAAGTCTTTAAGACACTATCTCCAATTAACCACCAAAAAACTAGTGGCTCAAGTGGTATAGTGCTAGCCTTGAGGGGGAAAAAAAAAGCTTGGGGATAGCGCTCATGCCTTGAGTTCAAGCCCCAGGACTGGCATACATGCAAAAAATGATGGGTCAAATCTCTCCTTGAAGCATCCCTGAGAATAATGATACTGTGCTTTATTACCAATCAAAGACAGCTGCTAGCAGAGAGCAGCAAACCAATTGACTGGGGGTAGGAGTGGTACTAAGCTTTACATCTTACAACTATTAGAATTTCAGATAGCAGTTAGAAGTACTATAGAATATTATAAGTACATAGCTTCATTTTTCATTAAAAAAATTTTTTAGGAGGGCTAGTAAAAGACATCCCTCTCAGCATCACTTTGTGGCTTACATATTTCTTTAAAATATATAGGCAGACCTGAATTTCACAGATTTACTTTAAAAGCTTTGTCTTGAAGGGCACTTTTACTTTTCTTGCACTGGAACATATAAAACATTCTATATATATATGTCATTTGTATTTTTATATATGAAAAATACAGATATATATCTATGAAAACTGATCTTCATTAATCCTTATTTTATATTTATTTATTTACATATACTTAATATTGAGAATTTTTCAGCTTTAAGTTTACTCTCAACAGGATACCAGTGGCTCACACCTGTAATCCTAACCTGAGGATTAAGGTTCAAAGTTACCCAGGCAGGAAGTCCATGAGACTCCTATAGCCAGTAAACTACCAAGAAGTGGTGCTTTGACTTAAAGTGGTAGGGTGCTAACCTTGAGCAAAAGAAGCTCAGGGACAGCATGCAGGCCCTGAGTTCCAGCCTAGGACCAGCACAAAAAAAAAAAAAACAATAAGAGTAACCTTGCTGAAGTTGTTTTAAGTGATAAGAATTTAGACTCCTGCCGTATGCCAGTGGCTCATGCCTATAATCCTTAGCTACTCAGGAGGCTGAAATCTGAGGATCACCTTTCAAAGCCAACCCCAGCAAGGAAAGTCCATGAGACTCTTATCTCCAATAAACCACCCAAAAAACCGCAAGTGTCACTGTGGCTCAAGTAGTAGAGAGCTTGCCTTGAGCTGAAGAGCTGGACAGTGCCCAGGCCCAGAGTTCAAGCCTCACAACAGATAGAAAAGACAAGAATTTAGACTCCTGTAAAATGTCCATAGGCAAATGCATTTCCAGGGTTGGTTGATTCCACAGTGATGTTAGGACCTAATCAGATTCTCTACTGCTTTCTTTCCCTTGGGTTTATGTACAGGACAGTTGATGTTTCTTTATAGGATGGTATCTAAAATGAGGATAGAAGAGGATGTTTCACTATCTAGGTTAAAAAATAATTACCAAAAGCTCTTAGACTTCTCAACATCTCATTGGTCAGAGGTGGACCTTGTGATCACCATTGATCACTATCAAAGGAGAATGAGTTATTGTAACTGGGCCTAATGTGAACAACTTGGTTTTATCCCTTGTATAGAAGCAGATTACTCTCCCTAACCAAGAGCTGAATAAAATGAGGATTCTACTTGCTTGGCCTCTGATGAGGGCTAAGTGACCGATATGCAGCCTGTTTACAGTGATTTACCATAGGGAATTCATAGTTATTTAACTCTAACAACAAATTCGTAGATAACTTACCTTGTATTTGAGATTTCTTTCTTATGTACTAAATCCAGTGAGATTATTTTTTTGGGGGGAGGTGGGGGGGAGGTTTCCTGGTCATGGGCCTGAACTCTGGGCCTGGGTGCTATTCCTCAGCTCAAGGCTCAAGGCTAGCAGTCTACCACTTGCCACAGCACCACTTCCAGCTTTTTTTTTCTGCTTATGTGGTGCTGAGGAATCGAATCCAGGGCCTCATGCATGCAAGGCAAGTGCTCTACCACTGAGCCAACTTCCCAGCCCCAGATTATTTCAAAATTATATTCTGGAAGGTGTTTCTCTAAGATGGATATTTTATTATTGCATGTAATTGAAATTTAAAATTATTACTTTACAGCAACAAATGGTCATTCCGAATGTTTACGGCTGTTAATAGGAAATGCAGAACCACAGAATGCAGTAGATATTCAAGATGGAAATGGACAGTAAGTTTTAATAATTTTTACGTAACTTCTTTTGGTCTTTTTGAAATAACATTTCACAACTGGCCTCAAGTCCCTTATCTTCCCACCTCAGCCACTCTACTGCTTGAAATCACAAGCACATACCACCCATTATTAAGTCACATTTAAGATGACTGATTATGTACATGGCCCCCTATTATAATTATAATACTCTGTCATAGTATGTCACTGAGAAACATCAAATACAGGTTTTTTTTAATTTAAATAAATATCACAAAAAAGCATTTTTGTAAGCTATCACATTGCTTTCTGTTTAGAGTATGTTCTTTTAAATGATAGCACTAAACCTATTTCTGTTGTTACTAGGACACCTCTTATGCTGTCTGTTCTCAATGGTCACACGGACTGTGTATACTCACTGTTAAACAAAGGAGCAAACGTAGATGCCAAAGATAAATGGGGACGGACAGCGTTGCATAGAGGGGTAAGCCAAAATAACTTATTAGCAGAAAGCTTTTAGGATAGGACTTCATTACTTACAGCTGAGCTGGACTGTTTATCTTTCTTCATTAAATTTCTACAATAATTGTTATTGAATTTTTATTTTCTAGCATCTTGGCTTTGAATGGTGATATTGAATAGTTCCAATACATAACTTAAGCCAGGGAACAATAATATTGGCACAAAATTGTAAATCCCTAAAACCTCAAGTACAATTTTATCAATTTAACTTTTTTCTACTATTGTAACATACATTTTTATGTTTTTCTTTTGAAATACTTTTAGTGAATTAGAAGTATCTCCTTGTTTTCCATATTAGTTATACTTTGACACCATTGCTGCGGCAACTGAATTTTTTGTTATTGTAGGTTGTGAGGCTTGAACTCTGGGCCTGGGCACTGTTCATCACTCTTCAGCTTAAGGCTAGCACTCTACCACTTGAACCACAGCGCTGCTTCTGGTTTTCTGGTGGTTAATTAGAGATCAGAGTCTCATGGACTTTCCTGCCTGGGCTGGCTTCAAACCTTGATCCTCATATCTCAGCTTCCTGAGTAGCTAGATTACAGACATGAGCCACTAGCTCCTGGCTGTCAACCAAATTTTTAAACCACTAGCAATAAAAATTAACTAAGCTGGAACATATTATTCAACATATTTATTTTTCTTTCAGGCGGTTACAGGCCATGAAGAATGTATAGATGCATTACTTCAACATGGTGCTAAATGCCTACTCCGGGATAGTAGGGGACGGACACCTATACACCTGTCAGCTGCCTGCGGACACATTGGTGTTCTGGGAGCCCTTTTACAGTCAGCAGCATCTATGGATGCAAATCCAGCCATAGCAGACAATCATGGATATACAGCACTTCATTGGGCTTGCTATAATGGTTAAGTATACAGATAAAAACCTACATTGAGGCCAGGCCCTATTATGTATCAAGTAGATACAATGAAGAATAACATTCTGGTAATAACAAGAATCATGTGTATATGGCAGACTAAAAATGTAAGATCAGTAGGAAGTCTACTGTATAATTACATCTTTTGTTATGCTAAAAGGAAGGCTCTAGTTGTCTGAGGTATATGAAATAAGCCATTTTATTTTTTGAAGTTTTACTCAGATTTTCAGTGTTTTGCATTTTCGGGGGGTGGTTAATGCTTCCCCGTTGTCTTTAAAAATGGAATACTTGTATTTTAGTTTCTTAATGCTCTTACATTAGAAAGAAATAACCAGGGGCTGGGAAGGTGGCTTAGTGGTAGAGCGCTTGCCTTGCATGCATAAGGTCCTGGGTTCGATTTCTCAGCATCACATAAGCAAAAAGAAAAAAGCCGGAAGTGGTGCTGTGGCTCAAGTGGTACAGCACTAGCCTTGAGCTGAAGAACTGAGGGACAGCACCCAGGCCCAGAGTTCAGGCCCCACGACTGGACCCAAAAAAAAAAGAAAGAACCAAAGTGGAAGAAACAATGAAATGCATTGCCTTGGAAACTGAAATGTGTATATTCTGAGCATATCACAAGATGAGATCCTTATATCACCATTAACATGTGTGCTTTTTGTTCTAAAGGAATTGGAACCCTACTAGGTATAACCTACTTTTAGTTTCTTAGAGGCTTACAATTGTTATAGCCCTTTCATATATAGGCTCATAAAAGGTCTTTTAAGGAAGGCAGAAATACTATTTTGTAAGGTAAATAGATGTAAAAATGAAGTTAGGTTTATGAACTGTCACTAAAATAATTTGCATAATGTGAAGCCTTTTTTTCTATGCAATCTGTAGGCTTAAATCATCTTAGAAAATACTCAGATGAATTGCTGTGTGCAGTGTCAGCATGAATCCTATCAGAGTTTGAAGTTTCAGCTTTAGCATGCAAACTGAAGTTTTAAAATGTTATTTTAAGGCCAGATGCCTGTGGCTCACACCTATAATCCTAGCTGTGTAGGAGGCTGAGATCTGAGGATCATAGTTCGAAGCCAGCCTGGGCAGGAAAGTCCCCATGAGACTCTTATCTCCAATTAACTACTCAAAAACCAGAAGTGGGGCTGTGGCTCAAAGTGGTAGAGCACTAGCCATGAGCAAAAACCAGTGCCCAGATCCTAAGTTTAAGCCCCACAAGACAAAAAAAAAAATGTATTTCAGGTTTTCTTGTAACATTGAAATTCAATTAATGTTAATATGACAGCACATCCACAAAGCTACATATCCACCAAGCTGTAGTTGAAGCAGAGCATCTGTTCTGTAATCTTTTGCATCATGATTCTTCCATTGGGAGCCATTATGAGAATGCTGTTTGAATCATGTTGAGAAGGAGACGTCTGAGCTAGGTGTCAGTGGCTCATGCCTGTAATCCTAGCTACTCAGGAGGCTGAGATCTTAGGATCACAGTTCAAAGCCAGTCTGGGCAGAAAAGTACGTCAGACTCTTATCTCCAATAAGCCACCAGAAAACCAGAAGTGGTGCTGTGGCTAGAGAGCAGTAGAGAGCTTGCCTTGAGCTGAAGAGCTGAGGGATAGTACCCAGGCTAAGTTCAAGCCTCACAACCGACCCAAAAAAAAAGACATCTGAATCTTATAAAATTACATTATAATCAAATATATCTAAAATACTTTCTTTTATGATGTTTGAATTTTCAACTAATTCTTTTGTAGCTTTTTTTTTCCAGGGCTGAGGACCGAACCCAGGGCCTTGTGCGCACCAGGCGGGCGCCCTTCTGCTGGGCTAAACCCCCAGCCCCCCAACTAATTCTTAAAGCTTGAGTGTTTGAACTCAGTGTTTTGTGCTTGCTAAGCATGGAATCCTACTACACTCCAGCCATTTCTGTTTTTGTTTTGTTTTGTACTGGGTCTTGAACTCAGGGCCTGGGTGCAGTCCCTGAGCCTCTTTGTGCTCAAAGCTAGCACTCACCACTTGAGCCACAGTGCCACTTCAGGCTTTTTTGAGTAGTTTATTGGAGATAAGAATCTCACAGGGACTTTGTTGCCCAGACTGGCTTTGAACCATGATCCTTGGATCTCAGCCTCCTGAGTTGCTAGGATTACAAGTGTGAGTTACCACTCCTCAGGCCCTTTTTAGCCATAGTTAATTTTCAAGAGTCTCGATCTTTTGCGTGGGGCCAGCCCCGAGGTAAAATTAGCCTTTATTATCTTAGGACAAATGGTTAGGCGGAGCCAGTGGCTCGTGCTTGTAAGCCAAGTTACTAAGGAGGCTGAGATCTGAGGATCTCAGTTCCAAGCCAGCCCAGGCAGGAATGTCTGTGAGACCCTTATCTCCAATTAACCAGCAGAAAACCAGAAGTAGCCTCTGGCTCAAGTGATAGAGCACTTGCTTTGAGCTGAAGAGCTCAGGGACAGCACCCAGGCCCAGAGTTCAAGCCCCATGACCGACTAGATAGATAGATAAGACAGACAGACAGATAGATGGCAAGAAGATATTCTGTATTTAGCCACTGAAATTTGACTTAGTTTTATAATAGGATTTGTGATACCTGGGAACATGAGAAAAACCCAAACTATGAAATAGAGTGGAAAAGCATCCACAAATGTCAATTTTGCTAATGTAAAATGTCACTGAGGCAAGGCATGGTGGCTAAGACCTGTAATCACAGAATTTAAGAAGCTGAAATAGAATTTTGAGTCCAGTGCTACCTAGGCTACAGGGAGACTCTCTTTAAAAAAGAAAAGAAAAGAAAAATCCGTGCAATAAAACCATTTAAAGCAAAGACTTTCTTTAAAAAAATTTTTTTGAGATTGATTACATAAATTTCACAAATTTCACAGTATTGTGGGAAAGTAATATTTAAAGTCATAAACATATTTTAATTTTTACAAGGCAAATTGTCATTTTCATGGTCTATAAAGTTTGTGAATTCTGTGAGCTTTGACAATACAACTATTTCTTCCACATCGGGTGATATGTGCGTTTTTTTCTAAAGCAAAGGCTTTTATAACAACAGTCAACTATTGGAGAAAAATATTGTACAGTAAGAAATTTCTTCTCAGGTAGAGCATTTTGTTATCTGTCATTTGGAGAATTACTCTCCTATAACATTACTTGGTTTGTGTATGGAGCACTGTTATTCTATTGCTATTGACTTAGACTCTCTAAGAACATTTTGTATGAGAAATAGAATTTTGTACAAATGACATGCCTGGGTACCACAACAGATGTGTCTTAATTTTCAGACTGCAGCAAAACTAGAATGAGTGAACTGAGGGAAGAAAAAAATACATGCTATAAGAGACCCTACGACGGGCTTGGAAGGTAGCTTAGTGGTACAGTGTTTGCCTAGCATGCATGAAGCTCTGGGTTTGATTCCTCAGTACCACATACACAGATGAATCCAGCAGTGGAACTGTGGCTCAAGTGGTAGAATTCTAGCCAGAAGCAAAAGAAGCTCAGGGACAGTGCCCAGGCCGTGAGGTCAAGCCCCAGGACTGGCCAAAAAAAAAAACCTAGCAAATCACCTCAAATCCATGAGAGAAGTTAATTCAGAAGCTCTGAAACTAGAGCTCTTTGGACATTGAGAGTAACATAGCTGTAATCCTAGCTACTCGGGAGGCTGAGATCCAAGGTTCACAGTTTGAAACCAGCCCAGGCAGGAAGTCACCTACCAAAAGAAGCCAGAAGTGGAGCTGTAGCTTAATTGGTGAAGTGCCAGCCTTAATCAAAAAAGCTCAGAGCAGCTCTCAAACCTTGAGTTTAGACCCTAGGACTGACACAGGAAAAAAAAATGCTCTCATGAAAGGCTGTATTCAACTTATTAATAAGTAAAAAGCAAATTTCAAAATATCTATATTCTAAAAGTGGAAAAAACAATGGTTAGAGCCTAAACTGAATCTGAGTGGTAAGACAGAGGTGGAGGGACTTGTGTTTGTTTCCTTACAGATAGTTCTGTATATTTGAGATTTTTGGCAGTATTTGTCTTACAATTGTTTTGATTAGCATACATTAGTTGCATGAGGATTTCATTGAACTCTCTCCATAGATGCCTACATGTATCTCATCAACTTAACTATCACTCTTTCACTCCATTATCAGTCTTCTTAAAATAATTCATTGGGTTTCATCATTCTGCTTTCGTATATTTATATAAAGTATTTCAACAATATTTACCTTTATTGGATTTTAATATCCGGTCTTCCTTGCCTATTTAGGTCATGACACATGTGTAGAACTTCTTTTAGAACAGGAAGTTTTCCAGAAAATAGAAGGAAATGCTTTCAGTCCATTGCACTGTGCCGTGTAAGTAAAAGCTAAATGAATGAATTTACTTTGAGTATTTTAGGAAATACATCATTGCTGTGAAAGTGATCACCTTGTTACCTTACACAGGATAAATGACAATGAAGGTGCTGCAGAGATGTTAATTGATACACTAGGTGCCAGCATTGTGAATGCCACAGATTCAAAAGGAAGGTAAGAATGCAACTATGGTGAATACAGTATTACTTTCAGAAGGAAAAGAAATTTTAACTGTTAATCTGGTATGACAATTTGCAAATATCCTGTGATTAACTAAGAAGTAAATTGTACATTTACAAGCATAAATTGTTAAAGTACTAGTTTTATAGGGCTTCTATCCCCTGATCTTTTTTTTTTTTTTTAATGTTTTTTTGGTTAGTCGTGAGGCTTGAACTTTGGGCCTGGGCGCTGTCCCTCAGCTCTTTAGGTCAAGGCTAGAGCTTGAGCCACTGTGCCACTTCTGGTTTTCTGAGTGTTTTTTTTTGGAGATAAGAGTCTCATGGACTTTCCTTGCCAGGGCTGGCTTTGAACCTCGATCCTCAGATCTCAGCCTCCTGAGTACCTAGGATAATAGGCCTGAGCCACCGGTCCCCAGCTTGAAGCTATTTTGAAATGTAAAGGTTTCCCTCTGTTTTTTACGCAAAGATTATATTGTAATGCCAACAAAAATTTTCAAAATAAGAGCAATTGGAAAAGGAATCCAGCAATTTAACAGGTAATTGAGAGTCAGGATTTGTTTGTTTTTTTTTTAAGTTTTCTTTAGTATGTTATTTTAGTAGTTTTGTGATTGTTTTACTTTAGACTATTTATAGTTTAAGGCCTCTTGTTATCAATAGTATAAGTTTATGTGGTAAGAATTCATAAGCTTCCTTGAGCCGGTTTGTATTTAGGCATTGCTTTCATAGCCTAATATGTAAATTACCATGTCATAAATTAGGGATTTTTTTTCCAGATGTATGTGTCATTCAAATGTAGTAATATATTCCAACTTTTCTGTCACAGAACTTCTCTCCATGCAGCTGCTTTCACAGACCATGTAGAATGTTTACAGCTGCTGCTCAGCCATAATGCTCAAGTCAATTCTGTGGACTCCTCTGGGAAAACACCCCTCATGATGGCTGCAGAAAATGGACAAACAAATACAGTTGGTAAAGAAATCATTTAGAGCCAAGTGCTATGTGTACTTGTAATCCTAGCTATTCAGGAGGCTGTAGCAGGAGAATCTTCAGCTCAGGCTGACCTTGAATTTCAGAGTGAAACTACAGAAAGGGTGGAGGGGGCAACTTAAGATTCTATTCTTCTAAGTGTACATTTGTTGCTTGTATATACATACCTTAGATCCCAAAACTTCTTCTGGCTTCTATTATTTAATCTCACTGCTCCTAAAATTTAAAACCTTTGCCTGCTGTGACCTACATTGTCCCCTTAGGAAAGTATAGTGTTTTAATTTGCCCTTGCTGTTTGAAGAGATTACATTAACATGGTCGTGTACCTTAATTAAGAAACTGGTCCTAGAGTCAGATCCCTGAATGTGAGTCCTAGGTCTAGCTAAGTGACCTTTTATCTTTTTACGTTTACAAAATGAGCAAAGTAACCACACCTAGTTCATAGAGTTTTTGTGAAAGTTAGTTTAAATCTAGAATGCATAAAAAGACTGGAATTTTATAATAAGCACTCACAAAATAAATGCTGATTATTTTTGCTAGCATCTAATTTATGTAAGAATATGAAAGTCATACAATTATGTGACAATGTATTATGTATACTATGTACTAAATCTTTTTCTTGCACTTTGCAAGAGGGATATTTTTTGCTTTATGTCTTCATTTCTCTGCAGTGAGTTATTGGTATCTAAGAAACATGTTCATAAACATAAGACTTGATGCACTTTTTCCTCCCAGAGATGCTGGTTAGCAGTGCTAGTGCTGATCTGACTTTACAAGATAACTGTAAAAACACCGCCCTCCATTTGGCTTGTGGCAAGGTATGTACACATTTTCATTGTTAGCTTCAACAGAGACATAATAGTTTTTCTAAAGCCGGGCATTGGTGGCTCATGCCTATAATCCTAGCTACTCAGGATGCTGAGATCTCAGTATTATGGTTCAAAATCAGCCTTTGGCAAGAAAGTCTGTGAGACTCTGATCTCCAATAAACAACTCAGAAAACCGTAAGTGGTGCTGTGGCTCCAGTGGTGGAGTGCTAGCCTTGAGCTATAGAGCTCAGGGACAGCGCTCAGGCCCAGAGTTCAAGCCCTACAACCAAAAAAGAAAAAAAAGTTTTCTATATCACTTAAATGAAAAGAGAAAAGAACCAAACCCTTCTTGTTTGGTCATATAGTTATGACAGTAGCTGGGAAATTTATGGGATAGTGTTGAATTTGTTTGTATGTATGAGTTTGTGTGTAAATAGATTTGGGGACTACTTGGGCTTATAAATTAATTTTAATGATGGCCAAGTTTTAAGAGCAGTTATTTGCCACCATTTTAGGGTCATGAAACTAGTGCCTTGTTAATACTGGAAAAGATTACAGATAGAAACCTCATCAATGCAACCAATGCAGCCTTGCAAACGTGAGTACTTTCACTATCAAGTATAAGCTTTTGATCTTTATAATTATAAAAAAATAAAGGACTAATGGGATAGGTCTCTGACATAAAGCAGTTTAAAAAGTCCAGACAACAGCCAATATGGTAGCATACATCTGTGGTCTTAGCACCACAGAGGCTGAGGAAGTAGGATTATGAGTTCAAAGCTAGCTTGAGCTATGTAGTGAGACCTTATTTCAGGAAAAAATAAATTAGGTGATGGCTCAGGTCTGCAATTGTAGCTAGCTACTCAGGAGGCTGAGATCTGAAGATCATGGTTCATAACCAGTCCAGGCAGGAAAGTCCAAAAAGCTGGAAGGGGAACAGTTGCTCAACGGGTAGAGCACTAGCTATCAGCAAAAAAGCTCAGAGACAGTGCCCAGGCCTTGAGGTCAAACCTGAGGACAAGCACCAAAAAAAAAAGTAAAGCCCTCACTATAATTGAAAACCCTTACTAAACATTAAATTAAAAAAGAAAAAGAATGTTGTTTGTTGTTATTGATTTTGTATGTGTTACCACTACTGGGGCTTGATGTTAAGGCCTTGAACTCTCCTCACTCTGCTTTTTTATTCACTGTTCTTTAGTAATTGAGCCACACTTCCACTTCTGGCTTTTTACTGATTAATTGGAATTAGAGTCTCACAGATGTGTATGCCCAGCCTGGTTTCCAATCATCTCAGCTTCCTGAGTAACTAGAATTACTTTTTATCTGATTTTTTTTCTCAATGACTTCCTTCACACTTTCTGAAAAAAATGTACTATTTATTTGATGAAATTCAACTGTATGTATGCTACTTAACACTGCAGTAAAGGAGGTAAGAAGCCTTGTATGTATCTGTAAACTGAAAATGTTTTTGAAATAAAAAATTGCTTAATGAGTAGGAAACTTTTGGATTGACTGACATGATCTTAGATCCATGTTTCTCATTGATCCTCACACTTAGATTCATTCTACCAATTTCCAGTTACTATTCTACTTTGAAATTTTGTTAAGAAAAAGCTTAGAAGACTGGCTAGAATTCTTGGATTAGTCACGCCCCATTAGTTACAGGGCCTGTTTTAGTCTGTTTTTAGAGGTGGTTAGAATTTGTGCTGTTCTAATTTACAGTTTTTATTATTGTCAGACTCACTTTTAAAACAACTTAAGAATTACTGTTGTTTGATTAAATCTTTTTAAACATAAATCTTAGAAGAAAAACAGTAAGTGGGATTTTTTGACAGTGGAAACTACCAGTGGTTCCCATATAGCAGAATTTATATAGATGCTGTCACGTCCAACATTTTACAGAGGTTCTATTGTCCCCCCTCCACCTTTTATGAATGTCTCGGGGTTGTATGTCTAAGTCTTCAGAACTTGGCCAGAATGTTCTTTGACAGCCAGGTGTATGCCTGTGTACAGGTACTGTATATATATATATATATATGTATGTATTCAATTTTCTCCCCTCAGACCTTTGCATGTTGCTGCCCGAAATGGGCTAACAATGGTGGTTCAAGAACTTTTGGGAAAAGGAGCAAGTGTTCTCGCAGTAGATGAAAATGGTAAGTAGGTATGGATTTTCTTCCCTAGAAGCCTTTATTTTGTTTTTGAAGGTCCATATTTGCAGTAAAATAAACTTGGGCACAGAGTGAAACTCTGTGGCAAAAAAATAGGATGAGAACAATCTAGTAGATTAATGCCTTAATTCTCATGTCATGTATAAACCAAAGTTAGTGTTTACCACCATTTTTCATCTTCTACCCTGAGTGCAAATATTTAGCAACTCCTTACTTGTGTATCCTCTGTAAAGCTAGGCTTTCCATTTATGGACTAGATGTGTGCCTTGTTGCCTACTAGAGAATGTCACTTTAACAGTTCTTTTGTATCCTGCAGTGACAATGTTTTATCCCTTTTCTAGGTTATTTTCTCTTTTGTGCGCACGTGTGTGTGTGTGTGTGTGTGTGTGTGTGTGTGTGTGTGTGTGTGTGTGTGTGTGTGTTGCTGGGACACTGTGCAAATCCTATAAATATATAAACATCAATTTTGTCACCTTAAAAATACCTCTTTTAGGGCTGGGAAGGTGGCTCGGTGATAGAGCACTTGCCTGCATGCATGAGGCCCTGGGTTCGATTCCTCAGCACCACATAAGCAAAAAGAAAAAAAGCCAGAAGTGGCGCTGTTGCTCAAGTGGTAGAGCGCTAGCCTTGAGTTGAAGAGCTGAGGGACAGCACCCAGGCCCAGAGTTCAGGCTCCAGGACCGGACCCAAAAGAAAAAAATTTTTAGCTGGGCACAGGTGGCTCACACCTGTAATCCTAGCTACTCAGGAGGCTGAGATCTGAGGATCGCAGTTCAAAGCCAGCAGTTCAAAGCCTGTGAGACACTTATCTCCAATAAAGCATTAGAAAACCGGAAGTGGCGCTGTGACTCAAGCAGTAGAGCTCCCTCCTTGATATGAGGAGCTGAGGGAGAGCACCCAGGCCCAGAGTTCAAGCCCCACGACCAACAAAAAGAAAAAAAGTCTTTTATTAATTTCACTCTTGGTACTAGTTGCTGCCTAGTTCTGCATTTCTTGTTCCAACAAAACTGTTCAAGAATTGGCTTTCTTCAGTCAGACCTTTGTCCCACCACACTGCAGAGCTTAACAAGATCACTGTTGTTTTCTAAAATGTTACATAGTTCTTAGTTCTCATTTCACTTGTCAGGTCACCTTTTGGCAAAAGTTTTTAACTGTTTTCCTATAGAAAACGTTCTTTACTTGGCTTTTAGAACCCACACACTTTCTTATATCTCCCGCTGCCCCCTGTCTCTATTACTAGTTACCCTTTTTCCAGTGTTTTACAAAATGTCACACTCTTCCTAATTTGTTAATATTTGGGGGGGAGGGTGCTCCAGGACTTTGCCTTTGGATCTTTTTTGTTTTTCCTGTCTACCATTCTTCCAGATGATCAGATCTAGTCCTTGGTTCTAAAAAGTACTTGTATGCTGAGAATTCCCACATTTATGTTGCCAGCCCAGATTTCTCACATGAATATCTTCATAAACCTCTCAAACCATTCCAGATCTAAACTTCCAGTTCTTTTTCTCTTCCTCCACTAAATCTGTTCTTCCCACAACCATCCTGATCTCAGTTGAATACTCATAGCAAGTATTTGAGCTGTTCTTGATTATTCTCTCCCTGTCTCTCTCTGTCTCTCTTCTCTCTCCTCTGCCCCCACCCCCCCATCTCTCTTTCTGGTCCAGTGTACCTTTCCTTCAACATACAGTGTTGCTCCTACCTTGAAAGTATATCCAGAATCTGCCAACTTCTTTCTTTACCACCACTACCTCAGTGCATCCTTTGAAAACATGAGAACAGAACAATTAGGCAGGACACAGGGAAAGAGAAAGCAATAGAAAGGATTATTCTGATGCACATCTAAAATACCATGTTGAAGCCTCTCAGCACAGTTAATACACACTTGAAAAAATAAATGACAGGGGGCCGGGAAGGTGGCTCAGTGGTAGAGTGCTTGCCTTGCATGTTTGAGGCCCTGGGTTCGATTCCTCAGCACCACATAAGCAAAGAGAAAAAAGCCGGAAGTGGTGCTGTGGCTCAAGTGGTAGAGCACTAGCTTTGAGCTGAAGAGCTGAGGGACAGCGCCCAGGCCCAGAGTCCAGGCCCCACAACCGGACCCAAAAAAAAAGACAGGAAAGTAAAGACAGGCTATGTTGAGCCCATAGGTATTAATAGGAAGTAGAGGATAAATGGACAGGGTGAATGAGGATAAATATGATCAAAGTAATTTGGAAATAGAAGAATGAAATTATTTTAGAAGAAAGGAAGAGAAAGTGTTAGGGGAGAATTTAACTGGAGTATATTATATGCATGGACTCTCTCCTTTGTACAACTAATATATGCTAAAAACAGGGAAAGTATGTTGCTCTTGAATTTCAGTTAATACATAGCTCTTAAAACAACCTACAAAATCCTCTACCTAATTACCTTTCTGATCTCATTTCCTACTCTTCTCCAGCTTAATTTATTCTGTCACCCTCTCTTCTCTGTCACTGGTTTGTACATGCATTGTGATCTTTGTTCTGTCCAGAACAAACACTCTGCCCTCCAAACATTCTTTGACTAAATCCTTCACCTGTTTCAAGTCTTAGTTCAAATTCCATCTTCTAAATGAAGCCTAATTTGACCATTTGTACTACAACTTGCTACATGTTCTTATTCGCACACTCAGTCCTTGTTAACATCTCCTTTTCTGTAGAGCTTATCTTCTGTCTGATTTACTTTATACTGATGTATTTTTTTCTCTCTCTCAGAATGAACATAAGCTTATTAAAGCAGGGAATCTTAAGTATTAGAAGCAGCCCACAGACAAGACAATAGGAGTTCGGTGGAGTTTGTTGCATGACAGTTCTACCAAGCACGTCTAAGTTCTGAGGACACATTGTGAAGTGAGACAGGTCTACTTCTTCGATAGAAGCAGAGTATAAACAGGCTGCTCCACTGCACATTCTTGGGAACAAGTTTTTCCCTTTGACCCTGGACAAAAATGGCTTTTTTTTTTTTTGTCAAGTTGTGGGGCTTGAACTCAGGAGCTGTTCCTGAGCCTCTTTGTGCTCAAGGCTAGCACCCTACCACTTTAGACACAGTGTTTTGTTTTGGTTTTTGGTTTTTTTTTTGGGTCCAGTCGTGGGGCCTGAACTCTGGGCCTGGGCGCTGTCCCTCAGCTCTTCAGCTCAAGGCTAGCGCTCTACCACTTGAGCCACAGCACCACTTCTGATTTTTTTCTTTTTGCTTATGTGGTGTTGGGGAATCGAACCCAGGCCCTCAAGCATGCAAGGCAAGTGCTCTACCACTGAGCCAACTTCCTAGCCCCTAGCCACAGTGTTTTTGAGTGGTTAATTGGAGATGAAAGTCTCACATCCCAGGGTGGCTTTGAAGCGCAGTCCTCAGATCTCAGCCTCCTGGGTAGCTAGGATTAAAGGTGTGAGTCACAGCTCCCAGCTCAAAAATGGCAGGTTTTTTTTGTTTTGTTTTTTTTTTGGGGGGGGGGGGGTCCAGTCATGGGGCCTGAACTCTGGGCCTGGGCGCTGTCCCTCAGCTCTTCAGCTCAAGGATAGTGCTCTAATACTTGAGTCACAGCACCACTTCCGGCTTTTTTCTTTTTGCTTATGTGGTGCTGAGGAATCAAACCCAGGGCCTTATGCATGCAAGGCAAGGGCTCTACCACTGAGCCACCTTCCCAGCCCCAAAAATGGGAGTTTTTTTAAAGGAGAAAATTTATGTTTTCTGAATCAGTGGTCGTATACCATGAATGAAAATAACACAGAAGTGGAAATAGCCAAATGCTTCATAGTTACAATGTATATAAACTATTGTAGTATGATCACATGAAAAAATACTACATATTAGTGAAAATGAACTGACTACAGTTAGATAGAACAATCTTAAGTCTCTCATAATGTTAAAAGAATCCTCATATAAAATAATACATAGTGTATTATTCCATCTAGGCTAAAAAAATCTGTACTGTTTATGACCATATATAGCAAGGAAGTATTTATCGTAAAAGTTGGAATGGTAGTGACAATTGTTGAAAGAGGCAAGAAAGTATGTTTAGGTAGGGGATATGGGATGCTTCTGGCATGCTGGTAATGTTGTCTTTCTTTTTTTTTAATTTTTATTTTTATTGTGAAAATACTGTACAGAGGGGTTACAATTACCTGGGCAAGATAATGAGTACATTTCTTATCAAGCATTGTAGCCTCCTCCTTTGTTTCCCCTTCCCATCCCTTCCCATCCTCCCCCGCCCCCCTGTTGTCTTTCTTGACCTGGGTGATGGCTGTATGAATCTTCATTTGGCAGTTTTCTGTTATTTTGAAAATAAGTGTGACTTTTCAAATATATATATATATATATAAATATATAAACATGAAGGCTAAAATGTAAGTACAGTAGTAGGATAAACAGTAGATTTGCAACAATAAATGAAGCTATAGACAACAATTTTAAGATATTTTCTGATATTAAATATCTGGCTTAAAACAGTTCTCCGTGGAATAATTGAAACTTGAATACACAGTATGTTCTTACCATCTCCTCTCCTACACATTCCTCAAAATTGGGTGGATCTTGCACCAATCAGGGTACCGATATTTTCCTCCTCAGCTTGTTGTATGAATACTTGCTCTTTTGTATTGTAGGGCCTCATGACTTTTGCTAGAAAAGGAAGCTGTATAATGCAAACATTTGTCTTACAGTAGCAGGCTTTAAAATTCACTTGTTCTTCAGTGAGAAAAAACAAATGTCATTCCATATAGAATGACAAGTATCATCTTTACCACATGATTAGTGCTTCATTCATGAATCTTTATAGTTCCTTATGTTTAGACTGTATTTGTATTGCTTTTATCCTTTTCTATTTAATGGAAAGTTTGGAATTATTCTCCTTAATTTATTACTAAAGCCAAAGAGATTTACCTCTTTATTATATTTGGTGAAGTCTCAAGGTTGTTAATTTTAAATTTTTATTTTCTAGGCTATACCCCAGCTTTGGCATGTGCTCCCAATAAGGATGTAGCTGATTGCCTGGCTCTCATTTTGGCCACCATGATGCCTGTCTCATCAACTAGCCCTTTGTCCTCCCTGACATTCAATGCCATTAACCGTTATACCAACACCTCAAAAACAGTGAGCTTTGAAGCCTTGCCTATCATGAGGAATGAACCCAGTTCCTATTGCAGTTTCAACAATATTACTGGGGAACAGGAGTACTTATATACTGATGTGGACGAGCTCAATGACTCTGATTCTGAGACCTACTGAGAGGCTGAGCCAGAGGTCTAAAGTTTTGACACTAAAGCTTCAAACTGTGCTTTTTCAGGAAAAAAAGAAAAGCACTTTCTTATTAAAGATACAAGTTGAACCTAAGAAGAAAGAGTTCAAACAGTGAAAGCGTGTAACACATTGGATGCCATTAGGAAGAAGAATTCTAAAGGCAAGTTTTGCAAAAGGAACCTCTGGAATCTTGATACTGACTTGACCAGAGGAAAACACATTGATGTCAAAGTGCTTTATGGAATTGTTTGATTTGGCTTTACAGTGCCAGAAATAATTTTGTTGGGACACTGTGCTCCCTAATCTGCTTACACAGCAACACTACTGTAAGAGAAGAGGACACTAGATTTAAATTTTATCAATAAAATTACAACTAATTTTAAAGGCAATAAAAGTTTGGTACAGTAGACATTATGGCACATCAAATTGCCAAAGGACCAAATGACTTAAAGATTTTTATAATAGAAGGCCATTTTGTGGAAACTGGAATAGGTGAAATGGGACATTTACTAAACCAAACTTCACTATTTGCAAAGGAGGCTGAGATTTGATTTAAATATTGATTTTTATAAAGAAAACATCTGAAAGCCTTCCAATACTGTATTAAACCATGAAAGAAAGCAGGTGTATTTTTACATTTTTTTTTCTTTTACATAAAAAATTTTGAAGTTCCAGTTTTTATAATAGAATTGAAAACCAGCTGACTGGCGCAGTATGGGTGAAAATACTTGTGACAAAGATAGATTGAGATCAGGCTCTTGCCCATGTTTGAATGGTTTGGGTTTAAAATCGAACTATTTTTGTTTACGAAGGTAAAGAATTTAATACACATAAATTTGTGAAATCGAAAACTCAGTTATTTCACCCTATTGCAGCTAAGTGGTCCTGGGAGTGGAATTTTCGGGCTCACTACTTCAGATGGTACACCCATGTCACTCAGTTACTTAGTGCCTCCTCACTAGGTTGGGGGATTTTTGTTGTTGTCACTTTAATTTTTGAGTTTTAAAAAAGTGAAATATCAAAAAATTCCTTGTTATTCTTAAGCTAAACATCTTCAAGTCTCTTGGAAGGCATTTCTGTGTTAAATGAGATTAAAAATGCTCAAGCCTTTAGGTCTTACTCAGATTTCGAGTAGCATGTTTGGAACTGGTCACTATTTGGAAAGAGAAAGCAATTGCCTGCCAAATTGAAGACTACTTTTTAAGTAATAAAAGAGAAAAAGCTGACATGTAAACTTTTAAATAACACTTTCTGTGGTTCTGTTTTTTACTGTAACTGTCACTTTCCCAGTAAAAATGACTTCACTTATATAGGCAGTCTTACAGGTCTGGCTAAAGTTCCATAAATTACATGAAACCCAATTTTATTTTATCCTTTTGTATTGTGAAACTGGAAACTTGATGACATTGTAAATTATCAGCTGGTTTTTCTGAATATAAAGTGTGAAAACACAGAACAGTATTTTGATCTATTTGATAATTTTGTGGGGTTTTTGAAGAATTAATGAGCATGTACATAGAAATAGTGACTGCTTGAATACTGTATTTACTTGCACTCTTTCAGTACATCAAGATTCCTGTATATTTTAGAGTATAATAAAACACAGATGTGAGTTGTATTTAATAAATAATGTATTTGTATCTGTGCATATTATCTAAAAAAACTATAAAGTTTCTAGGGCATTGACTACTAGATTTTACGCAGTTTTTCTAAAATATTTACAAAACTTATAATCTCCATCTTTTCTTTATAATATAAAGAACTCATAATGAACCCTTCCTAATTATTAGTGGTTGGATGGGTAAATATGCATTTTAAAGACAATAGACTACATTTTCTATTGTACCTTTTGAAAAAAATGAAAACTCAAGAGGATTCTAAAAGTATACCATATGTGTGCTTTCTCTTTCCTTTTAGGAATTCTCTTCTGAATTCCCTGAGGGAATTTTCTAGAATCTCAGAATTGAAAGAGACCTGAGGTTCATCCGGTCTAACCTCTTAACAAATGCAGGAGTCCCTTCTACAAGGGTGATCTTTCCACCTTGAATTCTTCCAGTGATTCTACCTCACCAAGCAGTCCATTCAGTTGTTGAGCAGCTCTAATGTTAGAAAGGTCTTCCTTAGATGGAGTTGAAGCCTCCCTCCTGGTAACTTCTGTCTTTGGGCCCAGGTCTGTCCTCTTGAAAGAATATTGGAAGGATGAATCTCTTGCCCTCTGCCATGTCTTCTCTCTTGCAGGCTGTTGACTCCTTTGCTGAAATGACCTCCATAAGAACTCATTAGACTCTGTTAGATTGACCACATCTAATGAAGTGTAAGGTGTAGCTATAAAGTAACAAGCTCTTTTAAATTTGTTTCCACACATACCAGAACTAAGATCCTGCATCACTTTATGTAAATTGATGCTGTTACTGAAAACATTCGTTTCCAGCCTAATAGGAAAGCTATTCCATTGCTTTGTAATCGCATGTGTGCCTGTCTGTCCCCCAGCTTGAGCAACCCACTTCCTTGGTATGCACCTGATGAGGGGAATTCCAAAGTACTCACCCAGATTCACCCAGATAGTATTGAACGACATCAGTATTTGGATAAGTATGTGGACTACTTGAATGAATGGACACAACACCACAGTGAGTTCCTTTATAGTTACACCTTGTGTGTCAACCATTCAGGTCCTGTTCTGTAGTGCTTTTATCCTCACACTGAAGGATAAAGCCTGTTTCTTGAACAGCTTTCTTTAACTTTTCTGCATGAAAGGTGACATCTGAAATAGCTGATGTGTATTATAATAATACCAGTTTCTACTCAGAAACAACTTTGGGAAAACAGTGGTAATAGCAATGACTTCTTTTACCGAAGATTCAACTTAAACAGTGCCATTTTGTTAGGAGATCTCTAAATGTAGCTGTAAATTGGGGGTTTCAGTGGCTTCTATTGAACCTTTTAAATGAAATAAAGTTTTTTAATACAAAAAGTCAAGTGTCTTTCCTTTTTACATGTAAATAGCTTTTTTCTTAAAATGTCTCCAATTATACTGTGTTTTTTTGTTTTTGTGTTGAGCCTGAGGCTGGAACTTGGGGCCTAGGCACTGTCCTTTAGCGTTTGTGCTCAAGGCTTGCACTCTACCGCTGAAGCTACAGCTCCACTTCTGACTTTTTGGTGGTTAATTGAGAGATGAGAGTCTGATGGGCTTTCTTGCCCTGGCTGGCTTCAAACCATGATCCTCAGATCTCAGCTTCCTGACTAGGATTACAGGCATGAGCCACTGGCCTCTGCTACGACAAGCTTTTAATCTTTAAAAATGAACTGGCTTTGGAGATGGGAGAGAGGGACTGGGAAAGAGTGAGAGAACAGAAGACACTACGAAAGGCAATGTACTCATTACCTGACTCACATTCATTGTAATTGCTCTCTATATCACCTTTATAACAATAAATTTAAAAAATGAATTGGCTTCTAAATGGGGTGGTTTAGCAAGTATTTGTTGCTTGCCTTCTGTATACTGAAGCAAGGAGGGGAGGGAGAGGCATAGTATTCTTTAAGAGCAGTTTCATCATAGGTTTAAGTAAAAAGGCTGGAGGCATGGCTCAAGTAGCAGAGCACCAGTTTGGCAAATGCAGGGTTCTGAGTTCAATGCTTAGTAAGTAGATCCAAAAGAAAGAAGGAAAGGAAAGGGTGATTTGAGATGGAAGCAAATTGCTATGAAACAGAGAACAAGTTTATGTTGGAAGAGAAGAGAGGAACAAACTTGCCAGGAAGGTGGCACTGTGGAGGAACAAATAGAATTTGAACAGGTGGAGATGAGCACATGACATCCTGGATAAGAACAACAGCAAGTCTTTAAAGACTGTTGGAGGGTGAATGGGGCGGAATATGTATCAGCACTTAGCATTCCTGAGCATAAAGAGATCAGGAAAACCTAGAAGAGATGAGTATAATAAATACAGACATTAGTTAACAGAAGTAAAAAGGTGAGTGGAAGGGCAGGGTGAAGAAGACATTTAAAGTCTCCTAAAATTATCTCTGTGGAGGTAACATTAATAGAAAATGCCTATGCAGCATTAACTGTACCAAGCAAGGTTGAAAGTGCCTGAAGTATATTTGTAATCCACACAACTGTCCTGTGAAGTAGAGACAGACTATTAATAGCAGAACTATTAATAACATGTTAAAATGCAGGAGAGAGATGAAATAACTTTTATCCAAGGTCACCTGGCTGGCAATTTGTGAAATCTGGGTTCAAACCCAGGTAGTTATTTCCATAATCTGTACATAAGTTCTGTAATTGACTCTTAGCGTGCTTTCTGGTCATTGTTAAAATTTGGAATTTTGGCCAGGCACTGGTGACTCATACCTGTAATCTTACCTACTCAGGGGGGTGAGGTCTGAGGGCTACAAATTGAAAGATAGCCTGCATAGACAAATCTCCAGCTAACCAGCAAAAATTTTGCCTAAAGACCCTGAGTTCAGCACAGTGGGGTGGCGGGAAATTGAGTTTGAGGTTGATGTTTTGCTCTTAGTTTATGATTTTTAGAAAAAACACAAACCCGTCCTCGACAGATGTTTTTGTTTTGTTTTTGTCAGTCGTGGGGCTTAAACTCTGGGCTTGGGGGCTGTCCCTGTGCTCTTCAGCCCAAGGTAAGCCTCTACCACTTGAGCCACAGCGCCACTTCCGGTTTTCTAGTGGTTTATTGGAGATAAGAGTCTCATGGACTTTCCTGCCCGGGCTGGCTTTGAACCTCGATCCTCAGATCTCAGCCTCCTGAGTAGCTAGGATTACAGGCATGGCCACCGGCGCCCAGCGGCATCTTGGAAGTCTTTATGCCACCTATTCCTCACCTGGATGTGTATGTATGTTTGTGTGGATGGGGGTGCTGCTGTTGCTGGGGCATTTGCTTGCTAGACATTCTAGACTGATCCTCAGCCTTTGTTTTTTAAGATGGGATCTTACTATGTGAGCTGGCCTCAAATTTGAAATCTTCTTGCCGGGGGTCTCCAGAGTACTGGAATTAACCCACTTTATACTCCCACCACACCCAGCATATACTGCCATTCTAGTGTGGGCATTTCAAATATAAAACTGGGCAGCAGCCGAGCGCTGGTGGCTCACGCCTGTAATCCTAGCTACTCAGGAGGCTGAGATCTGAGGATCACAGTTCAAAGCCAGCCAAGGCAGGAGAGACCGTGAGACTCCTATCTCCAATAAACCACCAGAAAACCGGAAGTGGCGCTGTAGCTCAAGTGGTAGAGCGCTCGCCTTGAGCTGAAGAGCTGAGGGACAGCGCCCAGGCCCAGAGTTCAAGCCCCACGACCGACATAAAAAAAACAAACTGGGCAGCAAAAATTTTTTTGAGTTGTAAAAGTAGAAAAACCTTGTCCATTTCAGTGTTGAGAAGAACAGAGCATCAGACTCCTCGCTAATGTCTTATTGTGGTCCTCCTGGTATAAAGGACAGTGGTGGCCAGTTACCATCCTTATGACAAAGAAGAAATGCTGATGTGCATGCAGTACTATCCACTTAGTTCTCTGTGTCTACTCATTGGTACTTCTTTTTCCTTTGGTTATCACACACTTTGCATTCTGCCTACTATCTGTAATAGAATTGAAATAAAAAGGATCAATTCAGGGAGTCGATATTTCCTCCTTCACACTTGAAACATGAATTTTATTTTCTGATTTTTTTTTAATTTAATTTTTTTTGTGAACATACTGTACAGAGGGGTTACAATTACATGGGCAGGATAATGTGTACATTTCTTATCAAGCATTGCAGCCTCCTCCTTTGTTTACCCTTCACATCCCTTCCCTACCTCCCCCCTCCCCCCCACCTGATCTTCCCCCTCCCCCCGCACCAACGTTGTAAAGCTCGTTTTCGACATGACAACTTGTACTTCTTCTCATTGTTGCAACAAGTCCACCTGTATCCTTAAACGACTTGTTTTTCCCCATCTCCACAAGTTATACTGGCATCAAATATAGTGAAAGCAGGGCTGATTTTTTTTTTTTTAGTGGTACTTACTGAGATTTGAACTCAGGGCCTTCTACTTGTGAGGCAAGTGCTTTATCACTTGAGCCTCCTTCCCAGATTTTAATTTTTAAGTCATGTTTTCTATTCAGCAAATACTTCTAAAGTGCTTTCTCTATGAGTCTTAAATAATAGAGGTACTCTAAGACATCACAGTGAACCATATAAAAGATGAAATTTCATAAAGACAGGAAACAGGTTTTGATTAGGGAGACATTCTAGCTGATTCCTTGGCAGATTTGAGCAGGACTGAGTAACTGAGCTCTGCTGTGATTGAGGTCTTGAGTAAAGATTGCTGAATAGAAAAGGGAGCTGGTTTATTGAAGGAGAGATGTGTTTAGTTTTATTGGTATTTAGTTTTGATTTTGCAGTACCTCGGTTTGAACTGGACCTCATGCTTACTCAGCCTGCTCACCCAATGGCACTCCTAAACCCTGCGTTTGCGGAAAGACAAACTTTGTTGAGGGACAGTCCTGTGGCTTGAAATCAGGGCCTGGGTGCCATCCCTGAGCTTTTGTGCTCAAGGCTAGCACTCTACCACTTGAGCCACAGCTCTACTTCCAGCTTTTTGGTGGTTAATTGGAGATAAGAGTGTCATGGACTTTGATGCCTGGG